CAATTTTAGGGGGGCTTTGGGTCTGGCTGATGATCTCACCCCAAAAATGAAGGAGTGATCACTAAGGTTATTACCCAGAACACCAGCCAGTGCGAAATTGTGAGGGGCATTTGTCAATAGGACGTCAAGCAGAGTTGACTGTCCGGATTTTTTAGGTTGGGTCTTGTGGGGACATTTATTAATTGAAACAGGTTAAATTCATCTGTAAAATTTGTGGCCACGGCCGGCGGTTTAGCCAATTCCAATTTAGATCACCCACTAAAAATATTTCACCTTTAGGGAGGCCCCCAGAAAGCTCTCTCAGTGCCGATGCAGCTTCAACATCCTTCCCACAAGGCGGTCTATAGCAGCACACTACCAATATCTGTTGATTATTTGGGAGAGTTATTCTGAGAGCCAGACCTTGAAAGCAAATTTTTTAAACAAGGATGAGCTGGTGAACATGCAATAGTATTACGAACATAGATGGCAATTCCACCTCCTTTAGATCCTAGGTCAAGCCGAAAAGGTTGTAGTTTTCAATCGTAATCTGCAAGTCATTGACGGCAGGATGAGAAATGTTCTGCTAGGCAAAAAATGTCCGGGTCAAGATTTGCCACTTCTAGTTTAGTTGACTTAATTTAGTCACACAGACACACCCAGACACAGACACACACAGACACACAATCACCCAGCACACACAGACACACACAGACCCACACAGACACAGACCCACACAGACACACACACAGATACAAATACTAAACCATACCCATCCTACCAGGTAAAGCCCCGACTGAGTGTGCGAATTTATTGCTTACCACAAATGATATCAGTCACTCAACAAAAATGTTTTACCTTTGTCTTGCCAGGCATCTTGTCTCCCGGCTATCCACGTTCCGGAGCCGCAGAGGAACCTGCTATCCACGTCCCGGGCCCCCACCTCCACGCCCCTCACCCACCATGCTGGGTCGTCTGCGTTTTATGCCGGCATCTTGTGGCCTAGCCGCGTCTTGTGCCCGCATCTTGCCGCCCTGCTCCGTCTTGTGCCGGATCTTGCCGCTTGCTGGACGTTGAATGAGCAGACGGAGGGGTCAGGGATAGACCGCTCGGAGAAAGACACAGAGAGACAGAGAGACACACACAGACAGAGACACAGAGAGAGACAGAGACACAGAGAGACACAGAGAGACACAGAGAGAGACAGACACACAGAGGGAGAGACAGAGAGACACACAGCGAGAGAGAGACAGAGACACAGAGAGACAGAGACACAGACAGACACAGACAGAGACACAGACAGAGACACAGACAGAGACACAGAGAGAGGAGACAGAAACATAGAGAGAGACACAGAGAGAGACACCACACAGAGAGAGACAGAGACACACAGAGAGAGAGAGGGACACACAGAGAGAGAGAGACACACAGAGAGAGAGAGAGAGACAGAGAAAGAGAGAAAGAAAGAGAGACACACAGAGAGAGACAGACACAGAGAGAGACAGAGACACAGAGAGAGACACAGCGAGAGAGAGACAGAGGCATATAGAGACAGAGACACAGAGAGAGAGACACAGCGAGAGAGACACAGAGACACAGAGACACACAGAGAGACAGACACAGCGAGAGAGACAGAGAGACACAGGGTGACAGAGACACAGAGAGCGACAGATACACGAGAGAGAGACAGAGACACAGACACAGAGAGACAGAGACAGCGACACAGAGAGACAGCGAGAGAGAGACAGAGACACAGACAGAGACACAGAGAGAGACAGAGAGAGACAGAGACACAGAGAGAGAGACACAGACAGAGACACAGACAGAGAGAGACACACAGACAGAGAGACAGACAGAGAGACAGACAAGACACAGAGAGAGACAGAGGCACAGACAGAGAGAGAGACAGAGACACAGAGAGAGACACAGACATACACAGAGACACAGAGACACACACAGAGACACAGACAGACACAGAGAGAGAGACAGAGACAGAAGAGACACAGACAGACAGAGACACAGAGAGAGACAGAGACAGAGAGAGACACAGACAGAGAGACACAGAGAGACACAGACAGAGACACAGACAGAGACAGAGAGACACAGCAGAGGCAGAGGGAGACACAGACAGAGAGACACAGAGACAGAGAGAGACGCAGAGAGACACACAGAGACACACACACAGAGGCACACAGAGAGACACACACAAAGACACACAGAGACACAGAGACACACAGACACACAGAGAGACACAGGCACACAGAGAGAGACACAGCGACACAGAAAGACACACAGAGACACAGAGACACACAGACACACAGAGACACACACAGAGAGACACACAGAGAGACACAGAGACACACAGAGAGACACAGAGAGACACACACACAGAGACAGAGAGACACACACAGAGACACACACATAGATACACACAGAGACACACAGAGAGACACACAGAGACACACAGAGAGACACACACAGAGAGAGACACACAGAGAGACACACAGAGAGACACACACACAGACACACTCAGACACACAGAGAGACACACAGAGAGACACACACAGAGACACACAGAGAGACACAGAGACACACAGCGACACAGAAAGACACACATACAGAGACACAGAGACACACAGAGACACACATAGAGACACACATAGAGACACACATAGAGACACACCCAGAGAGACACAGAGAGACACACAGAGAGAGACAGAGACACACACAGAGAGACACACAGACACACACAGAGAGACACACAGAGAGACACACATAGAGAGACACACAACATAGACACATAGTCAGAGGAAGAGACACACACAGAGACACAGAGACACACAGACACACACAGAGAGACACAGAGACACACACAGAGACACACAGAGAGCCACACAGAGAGACACACACAGAGACACACAGAGACACACAGGGAGAGACACACAGAGACACACAGGGAGAGACACAGAGACACACAGAGAGACACACAGACACACACAGAGAGACACACAGAGACACACACAGACACACACAGAGACACAGAGAGACACAGAAACACAGAGAGAGACACAGAGAGACACACAGAGAGACACACACAGAGACACAGAGAGACACACACACAGAGACACAGAGAGACACACACACAGAGAGACACAGAGACACACACAGAGAGACACAGAGAGACACACACAGAGACACACACAGAGAGACACACGGAGAGACACACAGAGACACACAGAGAGCCACACACAGAGAGACACACAGAGAGAGACACACACAGAGACACACAGAGAGACACAGAGACACACAGAGAGACACACAGACACACACACAGACACACAAAGAGATACACACAGAGACAGAGAGAGGAACCCAGACACACAGAGAGACACACACAGAGACACACAGAGAGCCACACACAGAGAGACACACACAGAGACACACAGAGAGACACACAGAGAGACACAGAGACACACAGAGACACAGAGAGACACACACAGAGACACACAGAGAGACACAGAGAGAGACAGAGACACACACAGAGAGACACAGAGAGACACACACAGACACACACTGAGAGACACACAGAGAGACACAGAGAGACACACACAGAGAGACACACAGAGAAACACACACAGAGAAACACACAGACACACAGAGAGACACACACACAGATACACAGAGAGACACACACAGACACACACAGAGACACACAGAGACACAGAGACACACACAGACACACACAGAGAGACACACAGAGAGACACACAGAGAGACACACAGAGAGACACACAGAGAGACACACACAGAAACACACAGACACACAGAGACACACAGAGAGACACACACAGACACACACACAGAGGCACACACAGAGACGCACACAGAGACACACACAGAGACACACACACAGAGACACACAGAGAGACGCACACACAGAGAGACACACACAGAGACACACAGAGACACACACAGACGCACACACATAGACACACACAGAGACACACACATAGACACACACAGAGACACACACATAGACACACACAGAGACACACGCAGAGACACACAGAGACACACACAGAGAGACACACAGAGACACACGGGCAGACACACAGACACACAGACAGACACAGAGACACAGAGAGACACAGAGAGACACACACAGAGACACAGGGACACACACAGAGACACACGCAGAGACACACTCAGAGACACAGAAACACACAGAGAGACAAACACAGACACACAGAGAGACACACACATAGACACAGAGAGACACAGAGAGACACACAGAGAGAGACACACACAGAGACACACAGAGACACACAGAGAGACACACACAGAGACACAGAGACACACAGAGAGACAAACACAGACACACAGAGAGACACACACATAGACACAGAGAGACACAGAGAGACACACACAGAGAGAGACACACACAGAGACACACAGAGACACACGCAGAGACACACAGAGACACAGAGACACACAGAGAGACAGAGAGACAAACACAGACACAGAGAGACACACACAGACACAGAGAAACACACACAGAGACACACACATAGAGACACAGAGACACACGCAGAGACACACGCAGAGACACACACAGAGACACACGCAGAGACACACACAGACACACGCAGAGACACACACACAGACACAGAGAGACACACAGAGACAGAGAGACACACAGAGACACACGCAGAGACACACACAGAGACACAGAGACACACAGAAAGACAGAGAGACAAACACAGACACACTAGAGACACACACATAGACACACACACAGAGACAGAGAGACAAACACAGACACACAGAGAGACACAGAGACACAGAGAGACACACAGACACAGAGAGACACACACAGAGACACACAGAGACACACAGAGAGACACACATAGACACACACAGAGAGACAGAGAGACAAACACAGACACACAGACACACAGAGAGACAGAGAGACACACACAGACACAGAGAGACACACAGACACAGAGAGACACACACAGAGACACAGAGACACACGCAGAGACACACATAGACACACATAGACACACACAGAGAGACAGAGAGACACGCGGACTACTGCCACTGCTGCTTCTGCTGCTTCACGTTCCCCCAATCCACCGCTGGACGAGGTCAGCGGTCGCGTGAATCAGTGGTGAATCTCGCACCTCCGCTCCGCACACTTCACCATAACGGTCAGTTGGGGGGCTCTTTTGAGGGTTGATGGATCACCAAAAGACAAAGATCCCCCGTGTAGCCTTAACAGACTGTAGGGGCAAGTGCTGTTAGCGAGCAGTATCTATGAAGGCCGGAACGGTACACGAGGGGGTGGGTGGCTACCAGCACCACGCCCGGCCGCCTTTGTCTCCCCAGTGGCGATGTTTACACACCGCACCAGGTGTTCATTTGAGGCTGAGTCGACCTCGGGGAGGCCCGGGACCGGTTCAGAGGTGTTGGCCGTGAGCGGGAATCGAATTTGGGTGGCCGGGTTCGTAGTGCAGCGTAACGCTAACCACTACCACCACCTCGCCCACCCACACCACCACGCACACCACCCACACCACCACCCACACCACCCACACCACCACCACCACCCACACCACCACGGACACCACCACCGACACCACCACCACCCACACCACCACCACCCACACCACCACCACCCACACCACCACCCACACCACCACCACCCACACCACCCACAACACCACCCCACACCACCACCGACACCACCACCCACACCACCCACACACCACCTCGGCCCACTCACACCACCACCCACAACCACCACCCACACCACCACCCACACCACCACCCACACCACCACCTCGCCCACCCACACCACCACCTCGCCCATCCACACCACCCACACCACCACCCACACCACCACCACACCACCACCCACACCACCCACACCATCACCACCACCACCCACACCACCACCCACACCACCACCCACACACCACCCACACCACCACCCACACCACCACCACCACACCACCACCATCCCCACACCACCACTCACACACCACCCACACCACCACCACCACCCACACCACCCCACACCAACCCACACCGCCACCACCCACACCACCACCCACACCACCTCGCCCCACCGGACACCACCACCCACACCACCACCATCCCCCACACCACCACCCACACCACCACCACCCACACCACCCACACCACCACCCACACCACCCACAGCACCACCACCCCACACCTCTATCCCACACCACCCACCCACACCTCCACCAGACCACCACCACCCACACCACCACCCACACCACCACCTCGCCCACCCACACACCACCCACACCACCCACACCACACCCACACTGCCACCCACACCACCACCCACACCACCCACACCACCCACACCACCCACCCCACCACCCACACCACCATCACCACCCACACCCCCACCACCCCACACCACCACCCACACCCCCACCCACACCGCCACCACCCACACCACCACCACCCACACCACCACCCACGCCACGACCCACACTACCACCCACACTGCCACCACCCACACCACCCACACCACCACCCACACCACCACCACCCACACCACCACCCACACCACCTCCTCGCCCACCCACCCACACCACCTCGCCCACCCACCCACACCACCATCCACACCACCACCCACACCACCACCGCCCCCACACCACCACCCACACCACCACCACCCACACCACCACCTCGCCCACCCACCCACACCATCTCGCCCACCCACCCACACCACCACCCACACCACCCACCACCACCCACACCACCACCACCCAAACCACCACCACCCACACCACCACCACACCGCCACCCACACCACCACCCACACCACCACCCACACCACCACCCACACCACCACCACCCACACCCACCCACACCCACCACACCCGCAACACCACCACCACCCCTACCACCACCCACACCACCACCCACCCCACCACCACCACCCCTACCACTACCCTCACCACCACCACCCCCACCACCACCACCCCTACACCACCCTCACCCACCACAACCACCACCCACACCACCACAATCACCACCCCTACCACCACAACCACCAGCCCCACCACCACCACCCACACCACACTCACCCCCACCGTGGCTATGTTATCGTGTGTAAGTTCTATTTCTGTGGATTGCTACCGTGGTCAACTTCGACACCCTGAGCCGTCGATAGTCGTGGCCGTGATTTCGCCATCAGATATCGTCCAAAATGCAAAGGGGTTCAGTGTCGCGTACTATTAAAGCACTTGTGTGTAGTGTAGTGTATAGTGTAGTGTGTATAGTGTAGTGTGGTGTGTAGTGTGGTGTGTAGTGTAGTGTGTATAGTGTAGTGTAGTGTGTAGTGTAGTGTAGTGTGGTGTGTAGTGTAGTGTGTAGTGTATAGTGTAGTGTATAGTGTAGTGTATAGTAGTTTATAGTGTTGTGTATAGTGTAGTGTATAGTGTCGTGTGTAGTGTGTAGTGTAGTGTATAGTGTAGTGTATAGTGTAGTGTATAGTGTAGTGCATAGTGTAGTGTCTAGTGTAGTGGTATAGTGTAGTGTGTTATGTGTAGTGTATAGTAGTGTAGTGTATAGTAGTGTATAGTAGTGTAGTGTATAGTGTAGTGTATAGTGCAGTGTATAGTAGTGTAGTGTATAGTGTAGTGTGTAGTGTAGTAGTGTATAGTGTAGTGTAGTAGTGTATAGTGTAGTAGTGTGTATTAGTGTTTCGTGTAGTGTCTAGTGTAGTGTGTATTAGTGTTTAGTGTATAGTGTAGTAGTGTATCGTGTAGTGTGTAGTAATATGTGTCTGTATTAGTGTTTAGTGTAGTAGTGTATAGTGTAGTGTAGTGTGTAGTAATATATAGTGTGTGTATTAGTGTATAGTGTAATGTCTTAGTGTATAGTAGTGCAGTGTACAATAGTGTAGTGTATAGTAGTATACAGTGTAGTGTATAGTGTAATGTGTAGCGTATAGTATAGTGCAATCTATAGTAATGTACAGTGTAATGTGTAGTGTATAGTAGTGTAACGTGTGGTGTTATAGCAGTGTTGGTGTATAGCGTAGTGTATAGTAGTGTCGTATAGAGTAGTGTATAATTTAGTATGTATGTCAACGCTGTTGATTTGCTCCAACACACAGTTGTGCTGTACTAGTAACATTTTGGCATGTTCTGTCTACGTGACAAACCTTACTAATTGGCTGTGTCGGGTGGTGGCAGCGGGTTTAACGACACAGCGTTTATATTCACTACTACTTGGTGTTATGCTGTGTGTGTCTGTGTGTGTGTAGCGGTTAGCGCTATGCTGCGCTACGAACCTGGCGACCCGGGTTCGATTCCTGCTCACGGCCAACACCAGTGACGAGTATCGTGAACCGGTCCTGGGCCTCCCCTAGGTCGACTCAGCCTCAAATGAGTACCTGGTGCGGTGTGTAGTAAACATCGCCACTGGGGAGACAAAGGCGGTCGGGCGTGGTGCTGGCCACCCACCCCCTCGTGTACCGTTCCGGCCTTCATAGGTGCTCGCTAACAGCACTTGCCCCTACAGTCTGTTAAGGCTATTCGGGGGAACTTTTTCTGCGTGTGTGTCTGTGTCTCTGTGTGTGTGTGTCTGTGTCTCTGTGTGAGTGTGTCTGTGCTGTACTAGTAACGAATTGGCACGTTCTGTTTACGTGACAACCCTTACTAACGACACAGCATTAATATTCACACGATCCGACCCACAACAAAACCTCTATTATGGATGTGTTTATGTGATTACATTGTAATTCCCGACAGGGAGGATAAGCACACCGGCGGCAGAGACTCTGGGTTGTGAGTGAGTGAGTGATTGGGTGTGTGAGTGGGTGAGTGGGTGGGTGGGTGTGTGGGTGAGTGAGTGGGTGTGTGAGTGGGTGAGTGGGTGTGTGAGTGGGTGTGTGAGTGGGTGTGTGAGTGGGTGTGCGAGTGTGTGTGTGAGTGGGTGAGTGTGTGGATGGGTGGCTGAGTTGGTGAGTGGGTCGATGTTGTTAATGCAGTCTCAATGCCTGGCAAGAGGTATCTATTTGTTGTTTGAACATCTTAACAACTTCTGTTTGATTACTGCTAGATAAACGCCGATTATTACATTTTCATCGTCTCAATAAGGTCCCATTGGCAGCACTCGCCCCAACATTCTGCTGAGGCTTTACATCTTCAGTGAAAGGGAGGGGGGGGTCTGAGTCTCGATCGGTTTCCGCCCTCAGATGGCCTCGCACGCCCAGTCGCCGTTCATCATCAAGCGAGAGAACGAAGAGAATCCGAGCCTCTGGATGGGTCCCGATTCGACGGTGAAACGCGAGGACGCGGACGCTGCTGGTGAGATTACTCAACTATGTTTTATTTTTAACCAGGTGTCAGTCCCCGCTGAGCTGCTATGCCCTCTGCTCTTTTGTCAGAAGCGTTCGTGGCCATCACGAATTGATAGCAGCTGACATCGTCATCATCATCATCATCGCGTGGAAATGTATAGCAGTCAAATTCTCTAATCGTTTCCGTGTCTCTATGTAATGACTCTATGCAGCTCTATGTAATGAAGCTATGGGTCTCTATGTGTAATGAGGCTATGGGTCTCTATGTAATGAGGCTATGGGTCTCTATATAATGAGGCTATGGGTCTCTATGTAATGAAGCTATGGGTCTCTATGTAATGAGGCAATGATTCATCTTCTTTGGTTCTTTCGGTAAAGTCACGTAGAATGAGAATAAAATGATAAATTGATAAAATAAAATAACACAATAATATTCTCACGACGTTTCGGCCACAACACAAGCGGCCTTCATCAGGTGAAGGGACGAGACTGTCTGGTAGGACAGCGCTGGAGTGAAAGAGCCACGTTCAGATCACGGCCTTTAAGCTGTGTGAGAGGAACAAAGCGCCTTGACAAAGGAATTAGCATATAATTTAGCATTGAAACGGCTGAATGATTAGCTTGTGACTGGTCACAGAAATAGTTATGTTAAAAGTTAAAGCATACACATCCGCAGAGGCACCCCTTGACAATGGAATTAGCATAGAATTTAGCATTGAAATAGCTAAGTTAAAGCATACACATCTGCAGAGGCACCCCTTGACAATGGAATTAGCATAGAATTTAGCATTGAAATAGCTGAGTGGTTAGCTTGTAACTGCTCACAGAAATAGCTACGTTAAAGTCAGACCATACACATTCACCGAGGCACTTAGTACAAATCAAACAGGAGAATTTAGCATTGAAATAACTAGGCGAATTTAGCATTGAAATAACTGAGTGATTAGCTAGTGACTGGTCACAGAAATGACTATGTTGAAGTCAAGGCCTACACATCTGAGCTATTCACAGTACTATATAGTGAACCAATAAAAACTAAAATATAAATTACCTTAATGTTATCAATAAACTCTATATTCTCCAATCAGCTAAGCTACCAACAATAAGTCGTTATATATCACAATGCTATATGGTGAAAAAATGGGTGGATTCTTACCCTCAACTTTAGCACCACGGATAGCTACGGGCCCCGTTCAGACGGACGAGTTCGTCCATGGTCGGAACAGAGGAGGGGGAGAGAGACAGCTGCGAGGCCCTAGTATACTCCATGTTGTAAAACCATACCATTAACCGTGGTGTGAGAGGTATTAAGAGGCAATGCTGGCGAAAGAGCTGCGGTCTGAAGGTCATCGTAAAATACAATTAATTAAGAACAGAAATGATTTAAAACATCTTTCCAGTGGTTACTAAGCCAGAATCCATCTTCTCGGTTGAAATTGTCTCTGTGCTTGTATATGTGAATGGCCTCATGAACGAATCTCTCATGGTAGCCGGTTGGTTTGCAAAGAACCTCCGTCTTGGAGAAGTCAATGTCATGTGAGCCCACTGAATTATAACAGTGATCTGCCACGGCAGAGGAGTTCGTCCTACCGTGTTTCAAGTCTGCTTTATGTTCGCGGATGCGGTCCGAGATATGTCTTTTGGTTTCTCCAATGTAGCTACTACCACAGAGGCACTTTAGTTTGTAAACGCCCGGGTACTGTATGTCTGGAACAGCATCTTTTACAGATGGAACTAGATCACGGATTTTATGTACTGTGTTGAATCGGACCTGGATCTTGTGTTTATTCAGGATTTTGGAGATCTTTTTAGTGACCCCTGCAATGTAGGGTAAGGTGATGGTTTTGAGTGGCTCCACAAGAGGATCCTTCTTCATGACTGGAGTGATGGCTTTGCGGATTGTGTAGTCGGAGTAGCCATTAGCCCTGAGAGCCTGGTGTACGTGCTTGAGTTCACTGGTAATGTGTTCCTGGTCGGAAATGCATTGGGCTCTATGGTATAGAGTCTTGATGAGGGAGTTCTTCTGGGATGGATGGTGGTGGGAATCCGGTTTCAAGTAAGCATCTGTATGGGTAGCTTTCCTGTAGACAGAGTGGCTCATTGAACCATCATGTCTCCTTTTAATTAAGACATCCAAAAAGGGTAGTTTGCCATCTTTTTCGACCTCCATGGTAAATCTGATGGCTGGGTGTATGGAATTGATGTGGTCGTGGAATTGGTCTAGAGCAGGCTGGCCATGTGGCCAGATGACAAAGGTGTCATCAACATACCTCTTCCATAAGGTCGGGCGTAGAGTGGCAGTCTGGATGGCGTCAGTTTCAAATTTTTCCATGAATACGTTGGCTACAACCGGAGATAGGGGGGAGCCCATTGGGGTGCCCTCAGTTTGTTTGTAGAAAGTTCCATTCCAGGTGAAGTATGTGTTGGTTAAGCAATGTCTCACCAGGGGGGGTACATCAGTATGCAGTCCTTGATGAACCAGGTCTTCAATGATAGCGATGGTGTCAGGTACCGGGACTTTGGTGAACAAGGACACCACATCAAAACTGACAAGCAGGTCGTTTGGGGACAGGGAAATGCCTTTGATTGTCGATACCAGGTGAGTAGAATTTAGTACCGCAGAGGTGGTTTTTCCAGTGAAAGGTCGCAGTATATCAGCAAGAAAACGTGCCAGTTTGTAGGTGGGGGAGCTGATAGTAGAGACGATGGGACGAAGGGGTGTATCTTCTTTGTGTATCTTTGGAAGGCCATATAATCTTGGTGGTCTGACAGCAGAGGGTTTCAACGAGAACTGTTTGATCTCATCAATTAATGCTGTTGAATCAGAGATGATTTTGTTCGTTATAGGTGACCAGGCTGTTGGTGGGATCTCTTTTTATTTTTGTATAGCTGCCATCGTTGAGTAGTTCTTGAATTTTGTTGTTATATTCTGTTTTGTCCATGATGACAGTGGCATTGCCTTTGTCGGCTGAGAGGACGACAATATCATCCCTCTTTTTTAATTGAGATAATTCAAAACGTTCGTCTTTGCTGATGTTGCTGGGTGGCAACTTAGCGTTTTTGAGGTTGCAGCAGTCACGAAAGCTTTAAATCGAAAAATGAGGCTATGGTTCTCTATGTAATGAGTCTATGGGTCTCTATGTAATGAGGCTATGGGTCTCTATGTGTAATGAGGCTATGGGTCTCTGTGTAATGAGGCTATGGGTCTCTGTGTAATGAGGCTATGGGTCTCTATGTAATGAGGCTATGGGTCTCTGTGTGATGAGGCTATGGGTCTCTGTGTAATGAGGCTATGGGTCTCTGTGTAATGAGGCTATGGGTCTCTATGTCGTGAGGCTATGGGTCTCTGTGTAATGAGGCTATGGGTCTCTGTGTAATGAGGCTATGGGTCTCTATGTAATGAGTCTATGGGTCTCTATGTAATGAGGCTATGGGTCTCTATGTGTAATGAGGCTATGGGTCTCTATGTAATGAGGCTATGGGTCTGTATGTAATGAGGCTATGGGTCTCTATGTAATGAGTCTATGGGTATCTATGTAATGAGGCTATGGGTCTCTATGTGTAATGAGGCTATGGGTCTCTGTGTAATGAGGCTATGGGTCTCTATGTAATGAGGTTATGGGTCTCTGTGTAATAAGGCTATGGGTCTCTATGTAATGAGGCTATGGGTCTCTGTGTAATGAGGCTATGGGTCTCTATGTAATGAGGCTATGCGTCTCTATGTAATGAGGTTATGGGTCTCTATGTAATGAGGTTATGGGTCTCTGTGTAATAAGGCTATGGGTCTCTATGTAATGAGGCTATGGGTCTCTGTGTAATGAGGCTATGGGTCTCTATGTAATGAGGTTATGGGTCTCTATGTAATGAGGCTATGGGTCTCTATGTAGTGAGGCTATGGGTCTCTATGTAATGAGGCTATGGGTCTCTGTGTAATGAGGCTATGGGTCTCTATGTAATGAAGCTATGGATCTCTATGTAATGAGGCTATGGGTCTCTGTGTAATGAGGCTATGTGTCTCTATGTAATGAGGCTATGGGTCCCTATGTAATGAGGCTATGGGTCTCTGTGTAATGAGGCTATGCGTCTCTATGTAATGAGGTTATGGGTCTCTGTGTAATGAGGCTATGGGTCTCTATGTAATGAGGCTATGGGTCTCTATGTAATGAGGTTATGGGTCTCTATGTAATGAGGCTATGGGTCTCTGTGTAATGAGGCTATGCGTCTCTATGTAATGAGGTTATGGGTCTCTATGTAATGAGGCTATGGGTCTCTATGTAATGAGGCTATGGGTCTCTATGTAATGAGGCCGTGGTTTTCACACCTTGATGACGATTGCTCGTGTTGCAGTCGAAACGTCGTGAGAATTTTATTGTTTTATAGTTTTTTATTTTATTTTATTGTTTCCCTTCCACTTGGTGGTGACTTTACCGAAAGAACCAAGAATACGAATCCCTGCAGTCACGAAAGCTTTAAATCAAAATTCGATGATGATATTAATAATAATGTTGCCCGCATAGTCCTTGGAACCGATTGGCCTGCACCAGAGCTACAGCTTTCGTTACGATGGTCGGGCGGGGCGGACGTGGTTTTGGGCCACCATCCCCCACCACCTCGTGTGTGCCACAGTGCCCGCGTTCATATGGGGTAGACGGCGGGTAGGTGGACGGGTGAGTTAACAGATGACTGTGTGAGTGGACAGGTGGACACGTTGGAGCCACCCACCACCCCCCCCACCCCACCTCCTGTGTGCCAGAGTGCCGGCCTTCTTAGGCTGCTGCCTGCTCGCTGCTACTAACGGCACTTGCCCAAAAGTCTGTTGAGGCTACACTGGCGGTGGGGGGTGGGGGCGGGGTGCCTTTGTCTTGCAGCTGCAGCAGCAGCAGCAGCAGCAGCGCTCGTGAAGCATGAAGATGAAGGCAGTCTGGGAGCGGAGATTCCAAGAATCGTGGTGAAAACCGAAGTCGGGGAAGATGGTAACTGGACACCCCCCCCACCCCCCCACCCACCCCCCCCCCCACCACCTCTTTCCTACCCTGTGCCGGATGCAGCGGGACCGCGAATCGAACAGCGGAACGCTGGCGAGATCTCAACAGCTCTAAGGGGTGAAAATGGGCTGTACGTACTTGTGTAGTAGGGCACAAAAAAAACACAAACCCACTGACCTCTTGGGCGGTGCCGGATGATGGTAGCGCTGTGGTGGATGTGAGAAATGCCATGGGGGGTGGGTGGGGGGGAAGGCCGATCACAATCGGCTGATCCCCTCATGGCGCTTGTTGCCACCACAGCGGCCGGATGGGGGCTCTGGATGGGTGCGGGGGGCTGGTAACCCCTCCACCTTCAATTCAACTAACCCCTAAACTACGATGCTAAATATTAAACCAAGCTTATGCTGGAGCCCCCGGTAGGAACAGGCGTCTATGGCGTCTCCTGACCAAACCCCATTTTGGCGGAGCCAGGAGACTGAATCTGTACCCTCAAGATTCCTCCGGAAATGGCAAAAATAAAAACCACTGCGGAGGAGAGGCTGCCACTCCTCTGTTGAGAGCTGGACTGGCACCGCCTGGATCTCTGCGGTATTCAAGAGGCTCTGGCTTCAGTCACCATGAGGAGTGGACAGTACTCTACTCGGGGCAGGAGACTGATCTGCCCACTGACCATCGGCTTGTCATCTGTAAGATGTGCCTGCCATTCTTCCACTCGGGTGGTGGGTGTCCATCTAGGACCCCATTCAAACCCACAGTGGCCTGGTCTCCGCTAGCTGATGAAAGTTGCAAGCGAGAATTTCAGCATTGCTTGCAGCTGGGGTTGGCATAACCACCCCCCCCTCCTCCTGATGCTGGTGGGAAATGGGCGAGGTTTAGGACTATGGCTCATGCAGCTGCAATGACTGCTTTGGGTACACAGTCCAGACCTCCACACAGAGACCCTGGCTGAAGAAGGAGGCGTTCCGGCTGGCTGAGAAAAAGCGACAGGCCCACTCTCACTGTCTACAGCATCCCACTTCGGAGAATGAGGAGGCTTCCCACAGTCTTCGCTCAGAGGTTCGGAGAGGCATGCGGCACTGCAAGGAGGGGTGATGGTTGTGGGTTACTGAAGAGATGGAGTCTAACTCATTAGCCTGGGATTGCAAATCACTCTTTAACTCCAATAAAAAGTAACTTGCAGCACCACACCTATCACCATCCTTAGGGGAAAGAAAGGTGATCCAATCTCCAACCCCTAGGACCAGGTTTGCAGATTTGAAGAGCATTTCTGTGAGGTCTTGGGGGAGGGAAAGTCGTTCAGCCTAGAAAACATCATGGGACAAAGTGGGGATGACCTTGCTGAGGCTGTGGTACCTCAAATATTGGAAGAAGTAGTCACCCCCTGTGAATCGCTGGCTGAGGTGCCATCTGTTGAGGAAGCACTGAAGGCGATCCGGAGTCTGAGACCAGGAAAAGGGTGCCGTCTATGTGCAGACTGCCCGATATGGCATCATAATAACAGTCTGGACCACTGGACAGAATCCGAAGGATTGGAAGGATGCCCTGGTGGTCCCCCTCTTTAATAAGGGGGACCGCACAGACTGTAACAACTACAGGCGCATCTCCCTCCTCAGTGTGCTGGGAAAGGTCCTGGCAAGGATTATATTCAACATCGCCTTGCCAGGCACGTTGAGGAAAGGCTTGTGGAGCCCCAATTTGTTTTCAGGCCATATATTCCATCTGTTTGCTACAGCAGAGGTGTAGGGAATTTCAACAAGACCTACATCTCTGCTTTATTGACCTGGTCAAGGCCTATGATACCATCAATAAGCCCGGGCTCTGGGTTGTTCATTGTGCTTTCGGAGTCCCTGACTCACCGCTCACAATCATTAAGGACCTTCATGATGGTGGGCAGACCCAGGCAAAGCTCTGTGGCCAGGAGTTGGAGCCATTCCCTGTTCACCTTGGGGTGCAACAGGGATGTCCTCTGGCTCCCACATTTATTTAACACATTTTTTTGACCACGTAGTTCAAGAGGTTTTCCATGGCTGTACCAAAGGAATCTCCATCTGGCACAGATACAACAGGAGGCTGATCAATTCTCAGGTGCGGTCGTGAGATGGCTCCCTATTGGTCAACCATGTTATGCATGCCGATGATTTGGTAATTGCTGCTCACTCAGAAGTGGAGTTGGAGGCACTGCTGCTGAACCTGGAGCGTGCCACTAAGAGGTGGGGACTTACCATCAGCCCCACCAAAACTAAGAATATGCCTGGGTATTGCATGCCATCAAACACTGCACCCCATCAACTCTCCATTGGTGATAGGGCAGTTATGGAAAGAGTGGAGAGTTTTCCATACCTGGGCAGTGTGCTTTTGACCAGCTCTGGTTTTACAGCAGAAGTCTCACTCAGAATCAGTCGAGAGGCATTATCTTTTCATCGACTGTGTAACGCTGTGTGGAAGCTACCTGGTCTGTTGGTCCACATGAAGCTTCGGGTCTTCTCGGCCACGATCATGCCCTACCTTCTCTATACTTGTGAAACGTGAACCCCCCATATGGAACATCTTCGCCAGTTAGAAACATTCAAGCTGGCCTGCCTACGATCCATCCTGGGTTTAACCAGGCTGGATTGTTTGAGGAGCTCACAAATCCTTGAAAGATCTGGACAAAGTTCCGTCGGTCAGCTCCTCCGGCAAGGCGAGGCTGCGTTGGCTGGGTCATGTAGCCCACATCCCCAGCCACCGCACGCCTAAATAGCTTTTGTTCGGTCGGATAGAGGGGGCTTAATGGGGGCGCAGCACGGGCTAGAGAAGATATGGAGTGATGTGGTACAGGAGGACGTGGAGCTGAGTGGACTTGCCAATGACCGGTGCCAGCGGTGTCATGATCGGCCTCTGTGGAGGAGGCTCGTGAAGGACGCTACTGGGCAGTTGGAGGCAGTCGCCCTCCAACAACAACGGAGGGCGGAGGAGCGACGCCCGCAACAACGAGCGGAGCGCCGGGCGGCTAAAACACAGCAAGTTGGCACAGTAGGGGGGCACAGGTGGTGCATCGGCCAGCAGTCATCTCATTCAAGTTGACCCTCCCGTGCGTCAAATACCAGGGTTTGCTCACTTGTCAAACGTGTTTTCTCCTAAATCACAGCCACAGTTCTGCATGCGGTTAAAGTGGAACGAGACGGGGAATGGTCGGAAGAGACGAGAGACCCCTACGGATTGATGGTCGCCGCAGACCGTAACTTCATCGAGGTGGAGCTCTCGGAGGAGGAAATCGGTGCTGGTGAGCTTCCCCTTTCGCGGAATCCCTGGCGTACGTGCGCGCAGCAGCCGTCGCCTCGGTCAACGATGTTTCATTGATGCCAGGGAAGCCACCGTCCATGGAAATTGCCGTCAATCGAACGAGGCGAATGGACGTCGGAGGCTTAATTCGAAAGCGCGTTGACCCCTTTTTTCACCCGAAAAACATCGTCTGCGCAGTATTTAAAAGGCGCTAATTTTAATACACGGACATCATAAGAACATGAAAAAACATGAAAAAATAAGAATGGGTTTTACCCCTTTCTGGCAGTAGCAAAACAGGAGTTATAGTAATAGGTTTTACCCTTTTAACTGGCACAAAAAACTGACACCTTTATTCAAGGCATCATGTCTGCAATAACCACAACACAAGTAGTCAAAATGCAAACAAAAAGACAACTCTGATAATATGCACTGTCCTTGAGGACAGACCTTGAGGACAGTGCCAATATTATTATCAGAGTTGTCTTTTTGTTTGCATTTTGACTACTTGTGTTGTGGTTATTGCAGACATGATGCCTTGAATAAAGGTGTCAGTTTTTTGTGCCAGTTAAAAGGGTAAAACCTATTACTATATCTTGTTACTGGCAAAGGAGGTCTCATAATGTAAAACAGGAGTTGTGTTAAGATGTTCAACCACCAAATATGAATCTTTAGCATGGAAATCAAGTTGCTGTAGTAACCACACACGGTGCTTGTGGTGAACATGCAAACCAACATGCTCTGATAATGCTGTGTAGGAACCTCCTGGTTCCACCAGCCCACAGGGGATTATTGTGTCTGTCCATCCGTCGTGCATCCAAAAATGGGAGGGAGGGGCTGGGTGGAGAGGGGAGGGTGGGGAGGGTGGGGAGGGAGGGGCTGGGTGGGGAGGGTGGGGCTGGGTGTGAAGGGGAGGGTGGGGAGGGGCTGGGTGGGGAGGGGCTGGGAGGGGAGGGAGGGGCTGGGTGGGGAGGGAGGGGCTGGGTGGGGAGGGAGGGGCTGGGTGGGGAGGGAGGGGCTGGGTGGGGGAGGGAGGGGCTGGGGGGGGGAGGGGAGGGGCTGGGTGGGGAGGGAGGGGCTGGGTGGGGAGGAGGGGCTGGGTGGGGAGGGTGGGGAGGGGAGGGAGGGGCTGGGTGGGGAGGGAGGGGCTGGGTGGGGAGGGGAGGGTGGGGAGGGAGGGGCTGGGTGGGGAGGGGAGGGTGGGGAGGGAGGGGCTGGGTGGGGAGGGAGGGGCTGGGTGGGGAGGGAGGGGCTGGGTGGGGAGGGGAGGGTGGGGAGGGAGGGGCTGGGTGGGAGGGAGGGGCTGGGTGGGGAGGGAGGGGCTGGGTGGGGAGGGAGGGGCTGGGTGGGGAGGGAGGGACTGGGTGGGGAGGGAGGGCTGGGTGGGGAGGGAGGGCTGGGTGGGGAGGGAGGGGCTGGGTGGGGAGGGAGGGACTGGGTGGGGAGGGAGGGGCTGGGTGGGGAGGGAGGGGCTGGGTGGGGAGGGGAGGGTGGGGAGGGAGGGGCTGGGTGGGGAGGGAGGGCTGGGTGGGGAGGAGGGACTGGGTGGGGAGGGAGGGGCTGGGTGGGGAGGGAGGGGCTGGGTGGGGAGGGAGGGGCTGGGTGGGGAGGGAGGGGCTGGGTGGGGAGGGGAGGGTGGGGAGGGAGGGGCTGGGTGGGGAGGGAGGGGCTGGGTGGGGAGGGAGGGACTGGGTGGGGAGGGAGGGGCTGGGTGGGGAGGGAGGGGCTGGGTGGGAGGGAGGGGCTGGGTGGGGAGGGAGGGGCTGGGTGGGGAGGGAGGGGCTGGGTGGGGAGGGGAGGGTGAGGAGGGAGGGGCTGGGTGGGGAGGGAGGGGCTGGGTGGGTAAGGAGGCCACGGCACACACGAGGGGGTGGGTGGCCACCAACCACGTCCGGCCATCTTCACGACATTTTCCTCCTCCACGTGGAGAATCAACAACACGCGTTTGGAGTATGCGGCTGCTCTCAATCTCTACATTATGAGCCGCCAAGCCCGCCCTCACAGTCGGGCATATTGTGCGGAATACACCACGGTGGTGCCGCCGTTCACCCTGGCCATTGACCGTGCAACCCAACGTTCCTACCACCTCCCTCCGCAGGAGAATGTGTTGTACAGCAAAACCTTGGATTGCGCAGCATAATTCGTTCCGGAAACGCGTTTGTAATCCAAAAGCACTCGTACATCAAAGCACTCGTACATCAGTTGTGATCACGTGACGCTCGGCAGTACAAAGCGTACTACACGTATACTACTCGTATTGCTAAGACCCTCGCTCGTTTATCAAATTAATATTTACTTACAATTTTTGCTCGCCTTGCAAAACACTCGCAGACCAAGTTACTCGCAATCCATGGATTTGCTCTGTACTTGCATTGACTTTGCTAAGGATGTAATTGTAATGTTACATTGCATTTTATCTGTGAAACTCATTGGCCTACACCAGAAACAACAGCCTTCTTTAGGGCCTAGTCTCACTTCCAGTGTCAGACCAGAGAGCAGCGTCAAAAGGGTGAACAGGACAAGGACTATGCCACTATGAGCACATTCATTGCTGCGAGTGAGCAGCTACAAAATGGGACCTTTTTGCCAGTGTCAAGGTATGAAAGCGTCATAATTGGTGTTTAACACGCAGGCTTTCGCAACCAATATCGTCCATGATACAGGCTTAGATCGCGCAAACAGATAAATGTGTCGTTAAACCCGCCACCACCTGACACAGATAATTAGTAAGGGTTTTGTCACGTAAACAGAACATGCCAATTCGTTACTAGTACAGCACTAACCGGTTGTGTGTGTCGTAGAGTAAACCCGCTATAGCGTAGTGTATAGTCCCATTTTGTCACGACAACATGTAAAAGCATTAATATTGATAGAAACTCGGAGAAGTAACGACCAAATAGAGCGTACAAAGGTGAAGTTTTGGCCCGCGGCGAAGAGACATCCGTGAGAATCCTCCGTCTCACGTGGCCCCTCGATTGCTTCTGCGGCTGCAACGTCAGGAAAAGCACCACTGGGCTTTGGACGAGTTGGGGGGGGGGGGGCGGGGGTGAAACGCACCCGAAGATCGTGCAGTCAAGCTGCCAGCTGGGGACGTTGCCCCTTCCGCGTATTAACTGATGGGAGTTGGTCTCTCGGTTAACGGTGTTTCGTTGGTTCCGCGGGAAAAAAACGTCGTTAAGCAAAATGATCGTGAATCGAACATAGCGAATGCACGTTGAAGGCTTAATTTGATCGTGAGTTGACTTTTTTTCACCCTAAAGACATTGTTTGTATCACCTTTCAACATGCAAGCTTAACAAATAAACGTTGTAAAAACATGTTATAGCATTAATTTTAGTAGAAACATGTATAAATAATGCATAAATAAGGCATAAAAAGGTGCATAAAGCGCAGAAACATACACGTCAATCACTTATCAGCGCCCTACCTCATTACAGACCAACGCAGACCTTATTGGTCACCCCGTGCCCCTTACGAATCCCAACGTTCATCCTACAAAGTCCCATAACACTACAATAGTATACTATTACACGACTATACTACTACACTACTGTAGTATACTACTATACCACTACACTACTATACCACTACACTACCATACCACTACACTACTATACTACTACACTACTATACTACTACACTACTATACCACTACACTACTATACCACTACACTACTATACTACTACACTACTATACCACTACACTACTATACACTACACTATTATACTACTACTATAGTATTCTACTACAGGACTATACTACTGCACTATTATAGTATACTACTATACCACTACACTACTATACCACTACGCTACTATACTACTACACTACTATACTACTACAATATTATACTACTACACGACTATACTACTGCACTACTATAGTATACTACTATACAACTACACTACCATAACTGTCAACCCCTTATCATTGCCCTACTTTATTATAGATCAATTCAGACTTAACTGGTCACTCCGAAGTTAAACACGCAATTTGAACAAATAAACGTTATAAAAACATCCTAAAGAATATTACTCTTTGGTTCTTTCGGTAAAGTCACGTAGTAGGTGATAAAATAACGTAAATTAAATCACGACATTTCGATTGCAACACAAGCAATCATCATCAGGTGGGAAAACCACAGCAAGAAAACACGTTTTTTTTTTTCCGCTGAAATGGGAGAGAGGTGCCGTAGTAAGAGGCATCTCTCTCCCTTGCCGTGGCTTTCCCGCCTGATGATGATTGCTTGTGTTGCAATCGAAACGTCGTGCTTTAATTTCTTTCATTTGATCACCCACTGCGTGGATCCCTGCAATTCACGAAAAAACTTCAAATCTAGATGAAAGCGTATTAGTAGCAACGTGGCTAAGCAGCGAACGAATGCGGCACGAATAGGTGCATAACTAGAGCACGGAAGAAACATTCCTTGCCTTGGGCTACGAAGACGGGTGGCTTACGAGAGGGGGTCGACGGAGGAGTTGGGGGTGGGAGAACATTTCTACTTTTAAACGAGGAGTCTCTGGGGTGGAGGGGGGGGGGGTGGGGGCACATCAAAACGCGCGACGTGGGGAGGCGCCTGGAAGCGGCCCGTGGAGCGTTAAGGGGGGGGCGCGGAGGTTTGACGGAAGCGCCGTGCCCCCCCCCCTTCTCGCGTCTTCCCCCCCCCCGCAAAAACCTTGCAGCGGACGGAGCGGGCGAACCGGAGACGCTGTGCGAGGACTGCGCCAAGGGCGGACGCTTCGACGGCGACGCGGGCAGAGTGGAGTGCGCCGGCGAGACTCCGCGGGCCTGCGCGGAGTGCGGCAAGGCGCTGGAGGGAGCGGCGCTCTGCGTCGTCTTCGCCGCCGCCGCCGCCGCCGCCGCCGCCGCCGCCGCCGGCCGCCGGAGGCACACCTGCAAGGACTGCGGCCGCGGCTTCGAGCTGCGGTCGCACCTGGAGGAGCACGCGAGGCGGCACACGGCCGAGAAGCCGCACGTGTGCCACGAGTGCGGCAAGGGCTTCGCGTCGCGCTACACCCTGAACTCGCACTTCATGTCGCACACGGGCAAGTGGCCGCACGTGTGCAAGGAGTGCGGCAAGGGCTTCGCGCGGACCAACTTCCTGGAGGCGCACGCGAGGACGCACACCCGCGAGAAGCCGCACGCGTGCAAGGAGTGCGGGAAGAGGTTCGCGACGTGCTACTCGCTGAACACGCACGCCATCTCGCACACGGGCGAGTGGCCGTACGTGTGCCAGGAGTGCGGCAAGGGCTTCGCGCGCCCCTGCGACTTCGAGACGCACGCGCGCACCCACACGGGCGACTGCCCCTACGAGTGCAAGGAGTGCGGCAAGGTGTTCGGCGGGCGCTCCAGCCTCGAGATGCACACGAGGACGCACACGGGCGAGAAGCCGCACGCCTGCGGCGAGTGCGGCAAGGCGTTCGCGAAGCGCTCCCACCTGGAGAAGCACGTGACGACGCACACGGGCGAGAAGCCGCACGTCTGCCCCGAGTGCGGCAAGGGCTTTTCCTACTGGTCCACCCTCGAGGTGCACACGCGGACGCACACGGGCGAGAAGCCGCACGTGTGCGGCGAGTGCGGCAAGGGCTTCATCCACTGCTACAGCCTGGAGAGGCACAAGAGGGCCCACACGGGCGAGAAGCCGCACGCGTGCAAGGAGTGCGGCAAGGAGTTCGTGCGGCGTTACCAACTGGAGGAGCACACCAGGACGCACACGGGCGAGAAGCCGCACGTGTGCGTGGAGTGCGGCAGGGGCTTCGTGCGGCGCTGCCAACTGGAGGAGCACAAGAGGACGCACACCGTGGAGAAGCCGCACGTGTGCGGCACGTGCGGGAAGGGGTTCGCGCACCCTTCCAACCTGGAGAGGCACGGCAAGACGCACAAGTGAATCGGTGCCATTTGAACGCCCGCCGCCGCCCGCCGCCGACTACGACTTCATTCCTAGCCCGCGTAGTTTAAGCGGCAGCTGTCGGATCCGTACGCTGGTGTTTTTTTGTTTTTTTTTGTTTAAAGAAATCATTTTTGCCATCCGCGTTTTCAAATCAAGACTCAAATCGAGGTTTGCGTTCTTTAAGGGTTTAGTTCGGGTCGCCCGTCTCCCCCGTAAGACCGGGATCAATGGAGCGCCGGCGATTGGGGATTCTGTCGAAGGCAGACCTCGCCGAGCGCACGGGGAAGGCGTTGCGTTCCCGGAAAATGCCGGGGGAATCTGGGATTGCATTCCTTGGTCCGAAATGATCTCCCGCCTTCATCGAGCTAATTCTACAAGATTCCCCGACCCCCCCATTATGCTGCTGCTTCTGTACGGCTGCCGACGTCGAAGCGGAGGCTACGACTACAGTTTCACATTCGGGTTGGTCAAGCCGAGACAACCTCGTCCAGGACCAGCGGAGCGGCGTATCGCTGTGATGATGTCCCCTGTTCTGGGTGAACACGGTCGAGTGAGTCTCGGCCCTCAGCGACGCCGGGTTCCGGAAGAAATCCAAGACCGGCGCAGCCTTTTCGGGCCCGCCGTCGGTCTACGACACAGTTCTGGATGTCGAGGCTCGCAAGGGCGATCTCCTTGTCTCGAAACAACACGCATTGTATGGACGATGCTGAGCGACGGGAGGCTGCGTGTCTATATGGGCGACAAATCCATCTCACCCCGGTTGCTCAACAACGGATTGCCACAAGGTTGAACGGTCGCACGCGACACAACGTTATTCTCCATATAACGCTGGTGGGTCTCTCCCTCCGTTTCTCCGTGTGTCCTAGTACGCAACCTTTGTCAATTTCGCCTCGACGTTGAACCTCCCCCAACGTCTCCTTTTCCCTTCCCGCGCCCTTTGCCCAAACGCTGAATCGCCGCGCCCGACGCTCGCCCCTGACGCTTGCCACTTGCACGTTGACGGTTCGCCATCGAGACGTCCGCACAACCGATGCCCTCGGCGACTGGGACGGCTGTTTGCGCGCGGGCAATGCGTGGCGAGCGTTTGCGTCGTACCGTCGTGTTCGTGTTGAGCCGCGTTATTTTCTTAACGCGCGAGAGATCCCCCCCCCCCGCGTGGTCAAATTAATCGTTCTCACGATCGACCCGTTGACACGCGGCATTGCTTGTCGACGCGGAGACGAGAATCTTAGCTGCGTTGAACCGCGTAGGGGTTGAAACGTCACCCCCATGTTCCAGAAAACAGACCTCAACTGTAGAGCCGAAATACGCGTTTGATAAACTGGGTTTCGGCAAGGTTTTGTATGCATGGACGTCTGTCTTACTTCTTTCAGACCGTACGTTGCCAACCGTGCTAATCGGAGGTGCGGAGGGAAAGCAACAAACTGAACAGAAGAAGAACAAGAAGCAGTTTCTAAAGAAATGAGTTTGTCAATCTAGGCGATGACTTTAAATGTGGCGTAGCTCCAGTGGCTTCCTAATATCGGAAGGAAGAGCGTTCCAGACGGCCGCAGAGGCACGTCTGAAAGTTGCCGCGCGATGATGCGGTGACCACCGTCTTTGTTTGATGGTTACTTAAAAAAAAAAACGGTAGAAGCCTGCAACCTAATTCCTATTCTACCCAGTCGACCATCGTCTTGGTTTGCGATCGGGATTTTAACACCCGAATCGGCGTTTGTTCTCTTATCCTCGTCGCGCACGCTACAACGATGCACATTGCAGAGGTCGGTGTCGCCGTAAGAACGCCATGACGTGAATTTCAAAGTGCATTTTCTCCCAAGCGTTTCTCCGACGCAGGTACTACTACTACTATTGTGAGCGCTAAAGAGTAGCACTTCATAACCGCGTCTTAGATAGATGGATATTTTTAACAAGTGTGTGGGCAAAGGGATGCTTTGTCGTCGCGTGTGATTTCAACGGGCGAGTCGTTGGCAGTCTACCGCTTGACGAAATCCTCCCCTGCTCTGTCAGTCACGGGGATTTGCTTGACCGTACTTGGCCGTGCCGGTCGATGGTCGTTGATCAGCTCGCCCACTTCCAGATCGCCCATCCTCTTCCCTCGCCCCCTTCACCCCTTCCCCCCCCCTACTCCTTTGTGACCCATAAGTCCCCTCCATCGTGGTCACCTCCCCCATACTCCTTCGTATGTACGCGTGTGCATGTTGAACCTCTTTCGCACCGTACGTAGCCAACCGCGTTCGCAGGAGGTGCGGGCGGGGAAGGACTTCAAACTAAACACAACAGGCAGTTCTGAAGAAATGAATTTTCAATCGAGATAATTGATAAGGGCATAGCTCCAGTGGCATCCTGTAGGTATCTGTGTTGAACTTCTTTCATTGTTTTATATTTTTATTATTTTATTGTTTCCCTTCCACGCGACTTTACCGAAAGACCCAATAATATTCTTTCACATCGTTATCAGCCAGTTCAAGTCGTAACTGGCTGTGATGTTTCCATTTTAGACCCGGCAGCCCTTCATTGGTGGAAGCCCACCACCTGTACCATCATTCCCATGTTAAACCTTTATCCGGCAGCCCTTTAATTAATGGAAACCCACCACCTACGCCGGCCATCGCCCACCACTTACATTAACATCAGCTGCTTCGCCCATGCTGCTGACACTTGGGCTACGCCCATTTCAGACCTTTATAAAAACAGTTTGCCTTTAGAGGCTAACACCCGTTTTCCTGATGATGACCGCTTGTGTTGCAATCGAAACGTTGTGGTTATTTTATTATATTTTTTATTTTACGTGACTTTACCAAAAGAACCAATGATTTTTTTTTTAAATAATTTATAAGTGCAGAGCTCCATCAGCTGTCTAATATCGATCCCGACTACGTACACTCTATTGTGGCTACTTCCCCTACCCTACCGTTTTATCATCCCCTAAATACACCTCCATCCCGGTACCACTCATTCCTCAAGCCCCTGCATGCTCCCTGCCAATCAAAATCGTCACATTCTGTGTCGCTCTTTTCTTTTTAAACGATGTCAAGCGCCTTGAGTGAAGTCGATCTCTCTCTATATATCTATGAATAAACAATGATTTTCGATTGTGAAGAGGAGAGGGACGGGGGTTGTTTGTATCGCCGTGCTATTTTGTGGTAATTCGCGTTGATGGTGTGACCGTAAATGTTTTGTAGTGCATTGTAGCGTTTCGTTCCGTAAATCCTCACTGAATAGCCTCAGCCTAAGCTTCGTGTTTGGTGCAGTACATGCAATGCTCGACTTACGAACGCCCAGGCTTACGAACGCCCGACTTACGGACGCCCCGGCTTATGAACGCCCCGACTTGCGAACGCCTCGACTTACGAACATTCGTGAGTCGAGGGCGTCCCGTACCTAACACTGTCGTCGGAGTTGGCAAATTGGCAGGTGTCTATTAAAAGAATGGCTGTGTCAAACTGTGCGTCATGTTTGGATTAATTTTACGATCCCCCTCCCCCAAGCTAAATTGTATGTTGGGGTGTGGGGGGGTCTCACTTTCCAGGTGCAATCCGTAATATTCTGATTTATTTTCACGGCGCTGAAGGATCGCTTTGTGGGCAACCCCACAAATCCCCTGAGACCACCCCCCCCACCGCTCCCGACACCTTAGCCCAGATTCAGCACCTACATGTATTGGTGATGTAATAAGCTCACGTGACATGCATTCCTTATTACTGATGGCAATATCCCGGATATTCCGAATTAGCGATGACAGATATCTTCCGGAGTTAATGCATTCCATATATCGTATGTAGTTTAATTTAATTATTATTTTATATCTATCTACGTGACTTTACCGAAAGACCCAAAGCTGAATTCCTGCAGTCACGAAAGCTTTTAAGTCAAGATCCAATTTTGTCCCATTGCAATTTGTTGGTGTATCGCCTGTTAGAGGCTATACGCGGGACCTCTGTGTGTTTTATAGGTGCTGCTGCTACTCGCTACTAACAGCACTTGCCCCTACAGTCTGTTTGAGGCTACCTGGGGGAGCTTTGTCTTTGCTGCTCCGCGCCACCCACAGCGCTTGCCCCTACATCCAGCTAGAGGCTGCCTGGGGGAGCTTTGGCTCTGCTGATACTCGCCACTCACAGCACTTGCCCCTACATCCTGTTCGAGGCTACCCGGGGGAGCTTTGTCTTTGTGCTCCGCGCCACCCACAGCACTTGCCCCTACAGCCTGCTAGAGGCTACCTGGGGGAGCTTTGTCTCTGCTGATACTCGCCACTCACAGCACTTGCCCCTACAGCCTGCTAGAGGCTGCCTGGGGGAGCTTTGTCTCTACTGATACTCGCCACCCACAGCACTTGCCCCTACATCCTGCTAGAGCAGGGGTGTCCAAACTACTGCCCGCGGGCCAACTGCGGCCTGCGGTCCAGTTTTTATTGGCCCGCAGCAAATGTTGAAAATATAATTGAATATGGCCCGCACAAGAAGCTTGAGCTCAACTCTGTTTCACTTCTCAGTTTCAACACTAGATGGAGCCAGCCACGGAAAACCGCGCTTCTCCACTAAACGAAATTAAGCAGAGAAAAAAACTTTTACCGAGAGTCGCCAGAAATGTCAGCACCGAAGAAACGCAAAATAGCGAGTGAGTGTGGAAGATTTCAAACACGGTGGGAAAATGAATATTTTTTTCAAAGAAATCAACGGAAAGTGTGTCTGTTTGATTTGCAATGAAGATGTTGCTGTGATGAAAGAGTATAATGTCAGTCGGCACTATGAGACCAAACATCAGAGCTACACATCGTACACCGGTGCCGAACGAACACAGAAAGTCAAGCAAACGGCGGCTAGCCTGCAAGCTCAACAACAACAAAAATTTCGTGCTAACAAAATACAGGAAAACGCCACAACAGCAAGCTATGAAAGTCACTCAACTTATTGCCCAGCACGGCAAACCGTTCTCAGACGGTGATTTCATGAAGCAGTGCCTCATCAAAGTCACAGAAATAATGTGCCCGGAAAAAGTGCAGGATTTCAACAGCGTGAGCTTATCCAGAAATACGGTGGCGCGGAGAATCGAGGACTTGTCGGCTAACTTGGAACTTCAAGCTGAGAGACGAAGCTTGTGCTTTTGATTTTTTACTCGATAGCATGCGACGAGAGCACAGATGCCACAGACACCGCGCAGCTGTTAACTTTTTTTTGCGGGGAGTAGATGATAATTTTTGCTGTACGGAGGAACTGCTTGATATGATGAGCCTAAAAGGCACAACGACGGGTAGAGATATTTTTGAAGCTGTGTCAGAAGGAAGCTGAAAAGATGGGGGCTTAAATGGGGCCAAGCTCTGTGGAGTAACAACGGATGGAGCTCCGGCCGTGACGGGCGAGCGCAAAGGAATGGCATCGGTGGTGTGCGCCAAGGTAAAAGAGAGCGGAGGTGAGGCTGTTAGGATGCGCTGCGTAATCCAACAAGAAGCACACACAATTTTGATTTAAAGCTTTCGTGACTGCAGTAATTCATATTCTTAGTTTTTTCGGTAAAGTCACGTTGAAGAGAAACAACAAAATAATAAAATATATATAAAACAATAAAAAATTCTCACGACGTTTCGACCATAACTCAAACGGTCATCTTCATAACCAACACACCTGATGATGACCGTTTGAGTTATGGTCGAAACGTCGTGAGAATTTTTGTTATTGTTTTATATATATTTTATTATTTTGTTGTTTCTCTTCAACGTGACTTTACCGAAAAAAACTAAGAATAAGAAGCACACTGTGTGCCAAGACTGTCCAGCTGGGCGATGTGATGAACACCGTTGTAAAAAAACTGTCAACATAATTCGAGCTAAAGGACTGTACCACAGAGAATTTCAAGCTTTCCTATCTGACGTGGATGCTGAATACGGGGGATGTGCTCTACCACTCTGATGTGCGCTGGCTCAGCCGCGGCTCTTCGCTGCAGCGGTTTTAATTCGCTGAGATCAGAAATCGACCAGTTTTTGAAAGAGAAGGGCCGACCTCTTCATGAACTGAGTGACCCTCTGTGGCTGGCAGACCTGGCATTTTTAGTTGATCTTACTCATCATCTGAATACGCTGAACAAGAACCGACAAAATAATAAAATATATATAAAACAAAAAAATTCTCACGACGTTTCGACCATAACACAAACGGTCGTCATCAGGTGTGTCGGTTTGACGACCGTTTGTGTTATGGTCGAAACGTCGTGAGAATTTGTATTGTTTTATATATTTTTTTTATTATTTTATTGTTTCCCTTCAACGTGACTTTACCGAAAGAGCTAAGAATATGAATTATTGCAGTCACGAAAGCTTTAAATCAAAATTTAAGAACCTACAAGGCAAAGAACAGCTGGTGCCACGCCTGTATGCGCACATGAAAGCCTTCTGTGTAAAGCTCCGCCTGTTTGAGACACAACTACGAGGCTTTAATGCTGCACACTTCCCTGCGCTGTCTGAAATCAAGTCTGCTTATTCCAAAGGCCGACCTTTCTGCTAAAAAGGAGAAATGTGTGTCTGTGATTGTATCTCTCGTGACAGAATTCAACCAGCGTTTCCAAGATTTTTCTGCCATTGAAAAATAAATCAAGCTGTTCTCGACCCCCTTCCTGGTGGATGCAGAAGAAGTGGAAGAGAGTCTGCAGTTAGAACTGATTGAAATGCAATGTGATGATTCTCTGAAGAGTCAACATCAGCTCCCCTCCCTCGCTGACTTCTATCAGAGTTTGGATAATGCCAAGTTTCCTCTGATGAGACGCCACGCAAAAAGAATGATGAGCCTGTTCGGCTCAACATACATATGTGAACAAACATTTTCTCTGTTAAATCAGAACAAAAGCAGACCGAGAACCAGAATGACTGATAGCCATCTCTGTGAAGTCCTTCGTGTCTCGACCACCAAACTTTCTCCTGACATGTCAGCCATCCTTCAATCCAAAGGACAGCATCACTGCTCCCACTGAGTGCAGTGTTCTTCACATTATAGGTGAGTTAGCAATACACACAGTATTCATCACGTGTCAATGTCACCTCTAGTGTGTGGCCCGGCCTTTTGTTGATTTTTCTGTATTTAGCCCTCACTAAAAAATTTTTGGACACCCCTCTGCTAGAGGCTACCTGGGGGCACTTTGTCTTTGCTGCTCCGCGCCACCCACAGCACTTGCCCGTAGAGTCTGTTTGAGGCTACCTGGGGGAGCTTTGTCTCTGCTGATACTCGCCACCCACAGCACTTGCCCCTACAGTCTGCTAGAAGCTACCTGGGGGAGCTTTGTCTTTGCTGCTCCGCGCCACCCGCAGCACTTGCCCGAAGAGTCTGTTTGAGGCTACCTGGGGGAGCTTTGTCTCTGCTGATACTCGCCACCCACAGCACTTGCCCCTACAGTCTGCTAGAAGCTACCTGGGGGAGCTTTGTCTTTGCTGCTCCGCGCCACCCACAGCACTTGCCCCTATATTCTGCTAGAGGCTACCTGGGGGAGCTTTGTCTCTGCTGATACTCGCCACGCACAGCACTTGCCCCTACAGTCTGCTAGAGGCTACCTGGGGGAGCTTTGTCTTTGCTGCTCCGCGCCACCCACAGCACTTGCCCCTACATTCTGCTAGAGGCTACCTGGGGGAGCTTTGTCTCTGCTGATACTCGCCACCCACAGCACTTGCCCCTACAGTCTGCTAGAGGCTACCTGGGGGAGCTTTGTCTTTGCTGCTCCGCGCCACCCACAGCACTTGCCCGTAGAGTCTGTTTGAGGCTACCTGGGGGAGCTTTGTCTCTGCTGATACTCGCCACCCACAGCACTTGCCCCTACATTCTGCTAGAGGCTACCTGGGGGAGCTTTGTCTTTGCTGCTCCGCGCCACCCACAGCACTTGCCCGTAGAGTCTGTTTGAGGCTACCTGGGGGAGCTTTGTCTCTGCTGATACTCGCCACCCACAGCACTTGCCCCTACAGTCTGCTAGAAGCTACCTGGGGGGGCTTTGTCTTTGCTGCTCCGCGCCACCCACAGCACTTGCCCCTACATTCTGCTAGAGGCTACCTGGGGGAGCTTTGTCTTTGCTGATACTCGCCACCCACAGCACTTGCCCCTACAGTCTGCTAGAGGCTACCTGGGGGAGCTTTGTCTTTGCTGCTCCGCGCCACCCACAGCACTTGCCCCTACATTCTGCTAGAGGCTACCTGGGGGAGCTTTGTCTCTGCTGATACTCGCCACCCACAGCACTTGCCCCTACAGTCTGCTAGAGGCTATCTGGGGGAGCTTTGTCTTTGCTGCTCCGCGCCACCCACAGCACTTGCCCCTACTTCCTGCTAGAGGCTACCTGGGGGAGCTTTGTCTTTGCTGCTCCGCGCCACCCACAGCACTTGCCCCTACAGTCTGCTAGAGGCTGCCTGGGGGCGCTTTGTCTTTGCTGCTCCGCGGTGCGTTGGAGACGTCGCTTGCTCCGTCTTGTCCTGCATCTCGCCGCCGCTCTGGCCGTGTCTTGACGTGGCCCGCCCTTTGTGTGCGTTGCATCTTGTCGCCCTGTTCGTCTTCGTCGCACAGGGTGAGGTGTCTGTGTGTGTGTCTGTCTGTGTGTGTGTGTCTGTATGTGTGTGTCTGTCTGTGTGTGTCTGTCTGTGTGTGTGTCTGTCTGTGTGCCTGTGTGTGTCTCTGTGTGCCTGTGTGTGTGTCTGTGTGTATCTGTGTGTCTGTGTGTGTATGTCTGTGTGTGTGTGTATGTCTGTGTGTGTCTATGTCTGTGTGTGTGCCTGTCTGTGTGTGGCAGTGTCTGTCTGTGTGTGTCTATGTGTGACTGTGTGTCTGTGTGAGTGTCTGTGTGAGTGTCTATCTGTGTGTGTGTCTATGTGTGACTGTGTGTGTCTGTGTGTGTGTCTGTGTGTGTGACTGTGTGTGTGTCTGTGTGGCAAAACAACCCCCTACCTCTCGCGGTGCCGGACGGGCAACTCTGTCGTGGACAGTGCTGTGGGGGGAGGTCCAATTTTGATTGGCTCCTCCCCTCATGGCATATGTGTCCACCACAGGGGCTAAACGGGGGCTCTGGACGGGTGCGAGGGGCTGGTAACCCCTCCACCTTCAATTCATTACCACGAAACCACGAATTAAACTGAAATATGTAACTAATAAGCTTGTGCCGGAGGCCCCGGGGGGCCAGGCGTCTATGACGTCTCCTGGCCAAACCCCAATTGGCGGAGCCAGGAGATTGAATACCTACCCTCGGGGCTACTCCAGAAACAACGAAAAGCCACTACGGGTGGCCACGTGGAATGTTCGAACGCTCACTGCAGAGGAGAGGCTGCCACTCCTCTGTCGGGAGCTGGACCAGTACCGCCTGGATCTATGCGGCATTCAGGAGGTCCGGTGGACCGGCTCTGGCTCCTGCCACCATGAGGGGTGGACAGTCCTCTACTCGGGGCAGCAGACTGCCAAACAACAGGGTGTGGGTCTTCTTTTGAACAAAAGAATGAAGGGGGCGTGGGAGCGTGGCGGTGAGGTGTGGGAAGCTGTAAGCCCCAAGCTTGTGCCGGAGGCCCCGGGGGGCCAGGCGTCTATGACGTCTCCTGGCCAAACCCCAATTGGCGGAGCCAGGAGATTGAATACCTACCCTCGGGGCTACTCCAGAAACAACGAAAAGCCACTACGGGTGGCCACGTGGAATGTTCGAACGCTCACTGCAGAGGAGAGGCTGCCACTCCTCTGTCGGGAGCTGGACCAGTACTGCCTGGATCTATGCGGCATTCAGGAGGTCCGGTGGACCAGCTCTGGCTCCTGCCACCATGAGGGGTGGACAGTCCTCTACTCGGGGCAGCAGACTGCCAAACAACAGGGTGTGGGTCTTCTTTTGAACAAAAGAATGAAGGGGGTGTGGGAGCGTGGCGGTGAGGTGTGGGAAGCTGTAAGCCCCAGGCTACTTTGGGCTCGCCTTCCCATCAACCGGAGGCGAGGAATGGTGGTCGTGGTTACTTATGCCCCCACCAAAGATGAACATCCGTGGAGGGATGCAGGCAAAGCCGATGAGTCAGATGCCTTCTATGACCTCCTGTCACAGGTGCTGGCTAAAGTGGCCCCTCGGGATAGAGTCATCATGTTGGGTGACTTCAATGCCCGAGTTGGTCATGATACTGGCACCTGGTCTGGAGTGATTGGAGGGCATGGGCCAGATCAGCTCAATAACAACGGTAGGAGGCTGCTAGATTTTTGTGCAGCCCATGGGCTTGTAATTACCAACACGCTGTTCCGGCATCGGCGCATCTACACAACATCATGGATGCATGCCGGGTCCAAGCAAGAACATCTGCTGGACTACATAGTGACGGACCAGCGAATGCGAGCCCATGTCCTTGACACCAGGACCTACCGTGGAGCTGATCTGCCCTCTGACCATCCACTAGTCATCTGTAAGATGCGCCTGCCATTCTTCCACACCGGTGGTGGGTGTACACCCAGGACCCCATTCCAACATAAAGTGGCCTGGTCTCAGTTATCTGATGAAAGTTGCAAGCGAGAATTTCATCATCGCTTGTGGCTGGGATTGGCATCGTCCCCGACTCCTCCTGATGTCGAGGGTAAATGGGCGAGGTTTAGGACTGTGACTCATGCAGCTGCAATGGCTGCTTTAGGTACGCGGTCCAGACCTCCCCAGAGACCCTGGCTGACAGAGGAGGTGTTCAGGATGGTTGAGAAAAAGCGACAGGCCCACTGTCATCGGTTACAGAATCCCACGTCAGAGAATGAGGAGGCTTACCGCAGCCTTCGCTCGGAGGTTCGGAGAGCCGTGAGGCGCTGCAAGGATGGGTGGTGGTCGCGGGTTGCTGAGGAGATGGAGTCTGCCTCAGTGGCCCGTGATCACAAATCTCTATTTAACTCCATCAAAAAAGTAACCTGCAGCGCCACACCTATTACCATCATTAGGGGAAAAAACGGTGATCCAATCTCCGACCCCCAGGAACAGGTTCGCAGATTTGCTGAGCATTTCTGTGAGGTCCTGGGGGAGGGAAAATCCCTCAGCCAGGAAAACATCGTGGCACAAAGTGGGGATGACCCGGCTGAGGCTGCGGTGCCTCAAATATTGGAAGAAGTCACCCCCTGTGAGTGGCTGGCTGAGGTGCCATCTGCTGAGGAAGTATTGAAGGCGATCCGGAGTCTGAGACCAGGAAAGGCAGCGGGCAGAGATGATCTCCCAAGCGAAATGCTGAGGGAGGGTGGCGTTTGTGCACAGACTGCCCTATATGACATCATAACAACAGTCTGGACCACTGGACGGGTTCCGCAGGATTGGAAGGATGCCCTGGTGGTCCCCCTTTTTAAGAAGGGGGACCGCACAGACTGTAACAACTACAGGGGCATCTCACTCCTCAGTGTGCCGGGAAAGGTCCTGGCAAGGATTATTCAGCATCGCCTTGCCAGGCACGCTGAGGAGAGGCTTGCGGAGCCCCAATGCGGTTTCAGGAAAGGGCGGTCCTGCACAGATGCCATATTTTCTGTCCGTCTGCTACAGCAGAGGTGTAGGGAATTCCAACAAGACCTACATCTCTGCTTTATTGACCTGGTCAAGGCCTATGATACCATCAGTAGGCCTGGGCTCTGGGTCGTTCTTCGTGCTTTTGGAGTACCTGACCCTCTGCTCACGATCATTAAGGACCTTCATGATGGTGAGCGTGCCCGGGTAAAACTACGTGGCCGGGAGTCAGAGCCATTCCCTGTACACCTTGGGGTGCGACAGGGATGTCCTCTGGCTCCCACATTATTTAACATCTATTTTGACCACGTAGTTCGTGAAGCCTTCAATAGCTGTACCGGGGGAATCTCCATATGGTACAGATATAATGGGAGGCTGATCGATGCCCGGGTGCGGTCAAGGGATGACTCCCTATTGCTCAACCACGTTATGTATGCTGATGATTTGGTAATAGCTGCTCAGTCAGAGGAGGAGTTGGAGACGCTGCTGCTGAGACTGGAGCGTGCCACTAAAAGGTGGGGCCTTACCATCAGCCCCACCAAAACTAAGCACCTGCCTGGGTATTTTGTACCATCGGACACTCCACCCCCACAACTCTCAATCGGTGATGGGGCAGTTGTGGAGAGAGTGGAGAGTTTCCCATACCTGGGCAGTGTGCTTATGACTGGCTCCAGTTTAACAGCAGAGGTCTCACTCCGAATCAGTCGAGCGGCAATATATTTTCATCGGTTGCGTAACGCTGTGTGGAAGCTACCTGGTCTGTCGCTCCGCACTAAGCTTCAGGTCTTCTCGGCCACGATCATTCCCTCCCTTCTCTACGCTTGCGAAACGTGGACCCCCCTAATGGAACATCTTCGCCGGTTAGAAACATTTAGGCTGGCCTGCCTACGATCCATCCTGGGTTTAACCAGACTGGATTGTGTGAGGAGCTCACAAATCCTTGAAAGATCTGGGCAGGATCCCATCGGTGAGCTCCTCCGGCAGGCAAGGCTGCGATTGCTGGGTCATGTAGCCCACATGCCCAGCCACCGCATGCCGAAACAGCTTTTGTTTGGCCGGATTGAGGGGGCTAAGCGGGCGCAGCACGGGCTAGAGAAGAGATGGAGTGATGTGGTACAGGAGGACGTGGAGCTGAGTGGACTTGCCGATGACTGGTACCAGCGGTGTCAAGATCGGCCTCTGTGGAGGAGGCTCGTGAAGGATGCTACTGGGCAGTTGGAGGCAGTCGCCCTCCAACAACAACGGAGGGCGGAGGAGCGACGCTCAGAACAACGAGCGGAGCGCCGGGTGGCTAAAGCACAGCAGGTTGGCACAGTAGGGGGCACAGGTGGTGCATCAGCCAGTCATCTCAGTCAGTCGACCCGTGGCACCTGGGTCTGCCCCGTGACTTCCTGCCAGCGGGCGTTCGACACTTCACGTGGCCTCAGGGTGCACATAGCCTGGAACAAGCGTCGTGGTGACGTCACCGCCACTTAGTGGCGAATGGCGGTTGTTGTCTGTGTGTGTGTGTGTGTCCTGTATGTGTGTGTGTCTGTGTGTGTCTCTGGTGGGGAGCGATAGTGTAGTGGTTAGCGCTACACTGCGCTACAAACCTGGCGACCCGGGTTCGATTCCCGCTCACGGCCAACAGCAGTGACGATAATCTGAACCGGTCGTGGGCCTCCCCTAGGTAGACTCAGCCTCAATTGAGTACCTGGTGTGGTGTGTAGTGAACATTGCCTTGCCAGGCACGCTGAGAAGCTTGCGGAGCCCGAATGCGGTTTCAGGAAAGGGTGGTCCTGCACAGATGCCATAATCTCTGTCCGTCTGCTACAGCAGAGGTGTAGGGAATTCCAGCAAGACCTACATCTCTGCTTTATTGACCTGGTCAAGGCCTATGATACCATCAGTAGGCCTGGGCTCTGGGTTGTTCTTCATGTTTTCGGTTTCCCTGACCCACTGCTCACGATCATTAAGGACCTTCATGATGGTGAGCGGGCCCGGGTAAAACTACGTGGCCGGGAGTCAGAGCCATTCCCTGTACACCTTGGGGTGCGACAGGGATGTCCTCTGGCTCCCACATTATTTAACATCTATTTCGACCACGTAGTTCGTGAAGCCTTCGATGGCTGTCCCAGAGGAATCTCCATCTGGAACAGATACAATGGGAGGCTGATCGATGCCCAGGTGCGGTCAAGGGATAGCTCCCTATTGGTCAACCATGTCAAGTATTCATAATAAAGGTTTTTGGGTTAGATCGCGTTATTTATAAATGTGTCGTAACCCTCCACCACCTGACACGGCCAATCAGCAAAAAAAGTTGTCACGTTGACAAAAGACAAAAATAGTTCACTGCTTTAGCCCACCGGTGTGTTGAAGAGTGAATCCACAACATTTACAGTTTTAGTAGTACTGTGACGTTTCGCTGGTAATTACATCCAGCATCATCGGGCAATTCGCCAGAATGGTGAAGCCCTCCACTTGCTCCCGGTCTTAAATAGAGCAGCAGCAGGGTGACGTCATCATTTAACTCATATCAGGTGCAGTGGGCGCGAAAGCCTACGTGTTAAACATGTTAAGTATACCGATGATCTGGTAATTGCCGCTCACTCGGAGGAGAAGTTTAAGGCGGTGCTGCTGAACCTGGAGCTTGCCACTAAGAGGTGGCGCCTTACCACCAGCCCCACCAAAACTAAGCACCTGCCTGGGTATTTTGTACCGTCGGACACTCCACCCCCACAACTCCCAATCGGTGATGGGGCAATTGTGGAGAGAGTGGAGAGTTTCCCATAACTGGGCAGTGTGCTCATGACCGGCTCCAGTTTGACAACAGAGGTCTCACTCCGAATCAGTCGAGCGGCAATATCTTTTCACCGGCTGCATAACGCTGTGTGGAAGCTACCTGGTCTGTCGCTCCGCACGAAGCTTCGGGTCTTCTCGGTGAGCTCCTCCGGCAGGCAAGGCTGCATTTGCTGGGTCATGTAGCCCGCATGCCCAGCTACCGCATGCCTGGACAGCTTTTGTTTGGCCGGATAGAGGGGGCTAAATGGGTACGACACGGGCTAAAGAAGAAATGGAGTGATGTGGTACAAGAGGATGTGGGTCTCCCCTAGGTCGACTCGGCCTCAAACGCGTACCTGGTGCGGTGTGCAGTAAACATCGCTAGCACTGGGGAGACAAAGGCGGCCGGGCATGGTGCTGGCCACCCACTCCCCTCGTGCGCCGTGCCGGCCTTCATAGGTGCTGCTCGCTTACAGCACTTGCCCCAAAAGTCTGTTGAAGGCTATATATGGGGGGGTTATCTTTATTGTACAGGGTGCTTAAGCAATGTTTAATACCTCTGCGAATTTGCAACAATACCACAAGAAATATACCTCCTACAAGCTCTGGAGGACCACCTGGAGAAGGTTCGAGGCGCGCGTTGACAATGATGGTGAACAATTGAGAGACTCTTTGACTTTTTGAAGCTATTAAGATTACATTTGTTATCATGTTACAGTGTTATCCGTTCTTTTTCCATTCAAAACGATCGTCCCATTATAAGTGTTAACATCTTTTTTTTTAAGCACCCCTGTATATCGACCTCTAAGTGAAAAGGGTGCGGGGGGGGGGTGGGCGGGCGGCCTTGAGTCTCGATCGGTTTCCCCCTCTCAGATGGCCTCGCACGCCCAGTCGCCGTTCGTCGTCAAACGAGAGAACGAAGGGAGCCCGAGCCTCTGGACGGGCCCGGCCTCGATGGTGGAAGACGCCGACGGCGACGGCGACGACGACGGTGAGGTCGCGTTGGCCCTACGACCGGACCACCGGGAAGGGGGCTCCCCCCCCTCGCCCAAGCCAGGCCCCTGACTCTCGACAGGGAATGAGCCTGGAGAGCGCTTGCACGGACGGCCACCGCCACGCACGTGGGAGACTGCGGTGGCTGGGAGATGTTGACTACCTCGCCTGGTATACAGGATGGCGTGGGTTCTATCCCGATCTTGACGATGCCTACTGCTGTATATTTGGAGGTTTTGTCTCTCTCTCTCATCATTACCACGGTGGCTGGGAGATGTTGACTACCTCGCCTGATATACAGGATGGCGTGGGTTCTATCCCGATCTTGACGATGCCTACTGCTGTATATTTGGAGGTTGTGTGTCTCTCTCTCTCATCATTACCACGGTGGCTGGGAGATGTTGACTACCTCGCCTGGTATACAAGATGGCGTGGGTTCTATCCCGATCTTGACGATGCCTACTGCTGTATATTTGGAGGTTTTGTCTCTCTCTCTCATCATTACCACGGTGGCTGGGAGATGTTGACTACCTCGCCTGGTATACAGGATGGCGTGGGTTCTATCCCGATCTTGACGATGCCTACTGCTGTATATTTGGAGGTTGTGTGTCTCTCTCTCTCATCATTACCACGGTGGCTGGGAGATGTTGACTACCTCGCCTGGTATACAAGATGGCGTGGGTTCTATCCCGATCTTGACGATGCCTACTGCTGTATATTTGGAGGTTTTGTCTCTCTCTCTCATCATTACCACGGTGGCTGGGAGATGTTGACTACCTCGCCTGGTTACAGGAGGTCATGAGTTAGATCCCGACCCTGACATCTGCTGTATATTTGGAGTTCGCGTCTTTCTCTCATCATCATCATCACAATGGCTCGGATATGATGACTACCTCGCCTGGTATACAGGAGGTCGTGGGTTCGATACCAACCCAGACAGCTCTATATTTGGAATTTGCGTCTCATCATCACGGTGGCTAGGAGATGTTAATGACCTCGCCTGCTACGCAGGAGGGGGTGGGTTCGATCTCGATCCTGATGTTGACGAGAGAGAGAGAGACGCAAACTCCAAATGTACAGCAGGCGTCAGGATCGAGATCGAACCCATTACCTCCTGTGTACCAGGCGAGGTAGTTAACATCTAGCCACCATGGTATCAGGGTCCGGGATCGAACCCACGACCTCCTGTATAACAGGTGAGGCAGTTAACATCTCCTAGCCAACGTGGCGCCTGTCTCTTTCGGGGGTGGATATCTCTCGCTGGAACCGACTGACCGACTGACCGACTGCCTCACCGTCGCTCGTAAGTTCAACTACCGCCCGGTCACAGAGACGTGCGCTGCCTTTTTCTTGGAACCATGGCTTCCAGGAGGGCGGGGACCGGGAGCCAGCGACGAAGAGGAGCCCGCGGATGCCTTCGCGTTTCTCGCCGCTCCGGGCCGCAAGTTCATCGACATGGAGGTGTGGACGGAGGAGTTTGATGAAGGTGAGCTCACCTGATTATCCACGTTGCCAGGCGCACTGAGCTCCTAAATTGGACGTGAAGTGTGAGTTGCGGGTTATTATTTGATTTTATTTTCGACGTGACTTTACGGAGAGAACAAATGAGTGATTCCTGCAGTCATGAAAGCTTCGAATCATTGTTTGAACCACCCTCTACGGGGCGGGTTTACTCACAACTCACACTTTACTTCTAATTTAGCAATCTTTGGGAGAACGGTAATCAACCAGGCTCTGCGTTAACTGTGTGTTAGCCGACTCTCTGCGTTGCATTGCATTACACTTCTTAATTTTACTAAATTTGCCACACTCTTTGGTTCTTCCGGTAAAAGTTACGTAGGTATAAAATAAAATAAATCACGACGTTTCGGGCGCAACAACAAGCGTCCGTCATCAGGCGGGAAAGCGTGGCCTCCTGCTGATGCAGACTGTTTTAAAAGGTTTGAAATGGGTGTAGCCCAAGGGTTATAAAGGAGTGGCTGGGTCTAGTGATGTTAAAGTGAGAAATTAGCATGTAACTGGGCATGGCAGTAGCTATGATAATGTGAGAGATTATCATGATGTTAAAGTGATACATTAGCATGTAACTGGGCAAGGAAGTGGCTATGATAATGTGAGAGATTAGCATGATGTTAAAGTGAGAAATTAGCATGTAACTGGGTACGGAAGTAGCTATGATAATGATAACGTGAGAGATTAGCATGATGTTAAAGTGAGAAATTAGCATGTAACTGGGTACGGAAGTGGCTATGATAATGTGAGAGATTAGCATGGTGTTAAAGTGAGAAATTAGCATGTAACTGGGTACGGAAGTGGCTATGATAATGTGAGAGATTAGCATGATGTTAAAGTGAGAAATTAGCATGTAACTGGGTACGGAAGTAGCTATGATAATGTGAGAGATTAGCATGATGTTAAAGTGAGAAATTAGCATGTAACTGGGTACGGAAGTGGCTATGATAACGTGAGAGATTAGCATGATGTTAAAGTGAGAAATGAGCATGTAACTGGGTACGGAAGCAGCTATGATAATGTGAGAGATTAGCATGATGTTAAAGTGAGAAATTAGCATGTAACTGGGCATGGAAGTAGCTATGATGTGAGAGATTAGCATGATGTTAAAGTGAGAAATGAGCATGTAACTGGGTACGGAAGCAGCTATGATAATGTGAGAGATTAGCATGATGTTAAAGTGAGAAATTAGCATGTAACTGGGTACGGAAGTAGCTATGATAATGTGAGAGATTAGCATGGTGTTAAAGTGCGAAATGAGCATGTAACTGGGTACGGAAGTGGCTATGATAACGTGAGAGATTAGCATGATGTTAAAGTGAGAAATGAGCATGTAACTGGGTACGGAAGTGGCTATGATAATGTGAGAGATTAGCATGGTGTTAAAGTGCGAAATGAGCATGTAACTGGGTATGGAAGTAGCTATGATAATGTGATGTTAAAGTGCGAAATTAGCGTGTAACTGGGTACGGAAGTGGCTATGATAATGTGAGAGATTAGCATGATGTTAAAGTGAGAAATTAGCATGTAACTGGGTACGGAAGTAGCTATGATAATGTGAGAGATTAGCATGATGTTAAAGTGAGAAATGAGCATGTAACTGGGTACGGAAGTGGCTATGATAACGTGAGAGATTAGCATGATGTTAAAGTGAGAAATGAGCATGTAACTGGGTACGGAAGCAGCTATGATAATGTGAGAGATTATCATGATGTTAAAGTGATACATTAGCATGTAACTGGGCAAGGAAGTGGCTATGATAATGTGAGAGATTAGCATGATGTTAAAGTGAGAAATTAGCATGTAACTGGGTACGGAAGTGGCTATGATAACGTGAGAGATTAGCATGATGTTAAAGTGCGAAATTAGCATGTAACTGGGTACGGAAGTGGCTATGATAATGTGAGAGATTAGCATGATGTTAAAGTGAGAAATTAGCATGTAACTGGGTACGGAAGTAGCTATGATAATGTGAGAGATTAGCATGATGTTAAAGTGAGAAATTAGCATGCAACTGGGTACGGAAGTGGCTATGATAACGTGAGAGATTAGCATGATGTTAAAGTGAGAAATGAGCATGTAACTGGGTACGGAAGCAGCTATGATAATGTGAGAGATTAGCATGATGTTAAAGTGAGAAATTAGCATGTAACTGGGCATGGAAGTAGCTATGATGTGAGATATTAGCATGATGTTAAAGTGAGAAATGAGCATGTAACTGGGTACGGAAGCAGCTATGATAATGTGAGAGATTAGCATGATGTTAAAGTGAGAAATTAGCATGTAACTGGGTACGGAAGTAGCTATGATAATGTGAGAGATTAGCATGATGTTAAAGTGAGAAATTAGCATGTAACTGGGTACGGAAGTGGCTATGATAACGTGAGAGATTAGCATGATGTTAAAGTGAGAAATGAGCATGTAACTGGGTACGGAAGTAGCTATGATAATGTGAGAGATTAGCATGGTGTTAAAGTGCGAAATGAGCATGTAACTGGGTATGGAAGTAGCTATGATAATGTGATGTTAAAGTGCAAAATTAGCGTGTAACTGGGTACGGAAGTGGCTATGATAATGTGAGAGATTAGCATGATGTTAAAGTGAGAAATTAGCATGTAACTGGGCAAGGAAGTAGCTATGATAACGTGAGAGATTAGCATGATGTTAAAGTGAGAAATGAGCATGTAACTGGGTACGGAAGCAGCTATGATAATGTGAGAGATTAGCATGATGTTAACGTGAGAAATGAGCATGTAACTGGGTACAGAAGTAGCTATGATGTGAGAGATTAGCATGATGTTAAAGTGAGCAATTAGCATGTAACTGGGCACGGCAGTGGCTATGATGTGAGAGATTAGCATGATGTTAAAGTGAAAAATTAGCATGTAACTGGGTACGGAAGTAGCTATGATAATCTGAGAGATTAGCATGATGTTAAAGTGAGAAATGAGCATGTAACTGGGTATGGAAGCAGCTATGATAATGTGAGAGATTATCATGATGTTAAAGTGATACATTAGCATGTAACTGGGCAAGGAAGTGGCTATGATAATGTGAGAGATTAGCATGATGTTAAAGTGAGAAATTAGCATGTAACTGGGTACGGAAGTGGCTATGATAACGTGAGAGATTAGCATGATGTTAAAGTGAGAAATTAGCATGTAACTGGGTACGGAAGTGGCTATGATAATGTGAGAGATTAGCATGGTGTTAAAGTGAGAAATTAGCATGTAACTGGGTACGGAAGTGGCTATGATAATGTGAGAGATTAGCATGATGTTAACGTGAGAAATGAGCATGTAACTGGGTACAGAAGTAGCTATGATGTGAGAGATTAGCATGATGTTAAAGTGAGCAATTAGCATGTAACTGGGCACGGCAGTGGCTATGATGTGAGAGATTAGCATGATGTTAAAGTGAAAAATTAGCATGTAACTGGGTACGGAAGTAGCTATGATAATCTGAGAGATTAGCATGATGTTAAAGTGAGAAATTAGCATGTAACTGGGTACGGAAGTGGCTATGATAACGTGAGAGATTAGCATGATGTTAAAGTGAGAAATGAGCATGTAACTGGGTACAGAAGTAGCTATGATAATCTGAGAGATTAGCATGATGTTAAAGTGAGAAATTAACATGTAACTGGGTACGGAAGTGGCTATGATAACGTGAGAGATTAGCATGGTGTTAAAGTGAGAAATTAGCATGTAACTGGGTACGGAAGTGGCTAAGATAATGTGAGAGATTAGCATGATGTTAAAGTGAGAAATAAGCATGTAACTGGGTACGGAAGTAGCTATGATAATGTGAGAGATTAGCATGATGTTAAAGTGAGAAATTAGCATGTAACTGGGTACGGAAGTAGCTATGATAATGTGAGAGATTAGCATGGTGTTAAAGTGCGAAATGAGCATGTAACTGGGTACGGAAGTGGCTATGATAACGTGAGAGATTAGCATGATGTTAAAGTGAGAAATGAGCATGTAACTGGGTACGGAAGTGGCTATGATAATGTGAGAGATTAGCATGGTGTTAAAGTGCGAAATGAGCATGTAACTGGGTATGGAAGTAGCTATGATAATGTGATGTTAAAGTGCGAAATTAGCGTGTAACTGGGTACGGAAGTGGCTATGATAATGTGAGAGATTAGCATGATGTTAAAGTGAGAAATTAGCATGTAACTGGGTACGGAAGTAGCTATGATAATGTGAGAGATTAGCATGATGTTAAAGTGAGAAATGAGCATGTAACTGGGTACGGAAGTGGCTATGATAACGTGAGAGATTAGCATGATGTTAAAGTGAGAAATGAGCATGTAACTGGGTACGGAAGCAGCTATGATAATGTGAGAGATTATCATGATGTTAAAGTGATACATTAGCATGTAACTGGGCAAGGAAGTGGCTATGATAATGTGAGAGATTAGCATGATGTTAAAGTGAGAAATTAGCATGTAACTGGGTACGGAAGTGGCTATGATAACGTGAGAGATTAGCATGATGTTAAAGTGCGAAATTAGCATGTAACTGGGTACGGAAGTGGCTATGATAATGTGAGAGATTAGCATGATGTTAAAGTGAGAAATTAGCATGTAACTGGGTACGGAAGTAGCTATGATAATGTGAGAGATTAGCATGATGTTAAAGTGAGAAATTAGCATGCAACTGGGTACGGAAGTGGCTATGATAACGTGAGAGATTAGCATGATGTTAAAGTGAGAAATGAGCATGTAACTGGGTACGGAAGCAGCTATGATAATGTGAGAGATTAGCATGATGTTAAAGTGAGAAATTAGCATGTAACTGGGCATGGAAGTAGCTATGATGTGAGATATTAGCATGATGTTAAAGTGAGAAATGAGCATGTAACTGGGTACGGAAGCAGCTATGATAATGTGAGAGATTAGCATGATGTTAAAGTGAGAAATTAGCATGTAACTGGGTACGGAAGTAGCTATGATAATGTGAGAGATTAGCATGATGTTAAAGTGAGAAATTAGCATGTAACTGGGTACGGAAGTGGCTATGATAACGTGAGAGATTAGCATGATGTTAAAGTGAGAAATGAGCATGTAACTGGGTACGGAAGTAGCTATGATAATGTGAGAGATTAGCATGGTGTTAAAGTGCGAAATGAGCATGTAACTGGGTATGGAAGTAGCTATGATAATGTGATGTTAAAGTGCAAAATTAGCGTGTAACTGGGTACGGAAGTGGCTATGATAATGTGAGAGATTAGCATGATGTTAAAGTGAGAAATTAGCATGTAACTGGGCAAGGAAGTAGCTATGATAACGTGAGAGATTAGCATGATGTTAAAGTGAGAAATGAGCATGTAACTGGGTACGGAAGCAGCTATGATAATGTGAGAGATTAGCATGATGTTAACGTGAGAAATGAGCATGTAACTGGGTACAGAAGTAGCTATGATGTGAGAGATTAGCATGATGTTAAAGTGAGCAATTAGCATGTAACTGGGCACGGCAGTGGCTATGATGTGAGAGATTAGCATGATGTTAAAGTGAAAAATTAGCATGTAACTGGGTACGGAAGTAGCTATGATAATCTGAGAGATTAGCATGATGTTAAAGTGAGAAATGAGCATGTAACTGGGTATGGAAGCAGCTATGATAATGTGAGAGATTATCATGATGTTAAAGTGATACATTAGCATGTAACTGGGCAAGGAAGTGGCTATGATAATGTGAGAGATTAGCATGATGTTAAAGTGAGAAATTAGCATGTAACTGGGTACGGAAGTGGCTATGATAACGTGAGAGATTAGCATGATGTTAAAGTGAGAAATTAGCATGTAACTGGGTACGGAAGTGGCTATGATAATGTGAGAGATTAGCATGGTGTTAAAGTGAGAAATTAGCATGTAACTGGGTACGGAAGTGGCTATGATAATGTGAGAGATTAGCATGATGTTAACGTGAGAAATGAGCATGTAACTGGGTACAGAAGTAGCTATGATGTGAGAGATTAGCATGATGTTAAAGTGAGCAATTAGCATGTAACTGGGCACGGCAGTGGCTATGATGTGAGAGATTAGCATGATGTTAAAGTGAAAAATTAGCATGTAACTGGGTACGGAAGTAGCTATGATAATCTGAGAGATTAGCATGATGTTAAAGTGAGAAATTAGCATGTAACTGGGTACGGAAGTGGCTATGATAACGTGAGAGATTAGCATGATGTTAAAGTGAGAAATGAGCATGTAACTGGGTACAGAAGTAGCTATGATAATCTGAGAGATTAGCATGATGTTAAAGTGAGAAATTAACATGTAACTGGGTACGGAAGTGGCTATGATAACGTGAGAGATTAGCATGGTGTTAAAGTGAGAAATTAGCATGTAACTGGGTACGGAAGTGGCTAAGATAATGTGAGAGATTAGCATGATGTTAAAGTGAGAAATAAGCATGTAACTGGGTACGGAAGTAGCTATGATAATGTGAGAGATTAGCATGATGTTAAAGTGAGAAATTAGCATGTAACTGGGCACGGCAGTGGCTATGATGTGAGAGATTAGCATGATGTTAAAGTGAGAAATTAGCATGTAACTAGGCACGGCAGTAGCTATGATGTGAGAGATTAGCATGATGTTAAAGTGAGAAATGAGCATGTAACTGGGTACGGAAGCAGCTATGATAATGGGAGAGATTAGCATGATGTTAAAGTGAGAAATTCGCATGTAACTGGGTACGGAAGTGGCTATGATAATGTGAGGGATTAGCATGATGTTAAAGTGAGAAATAAGCATGTAACTGGGTACGGAAGTAGCTATGATAATGTGAGAGATTAGCATGATGTTAAAGTGAGAAATTAGCATGTAACTGGGCACGGCAGTGGCTATGATGTGAGAGATTAGCATGATGTTAAAGTGAGAAATTAGCATGTAACTAGGCACGGCAGTAGCTATGATGTGAGAGATTAGCATGATGTTAAAGTGAGAAATGAGCATGTAACTGGGTACGGAAGCAGCTATGATAATGGGAGAGATTAGCATGATGTTAAAGTGAGAAATTAGCATGTAACTGGGTACGGAAGTGGCTATGATAATGTGAGAGATTAGCATGATGTTAAAGTGAGAAATTAGCATGTAACTGGGCACGGCAGTAGCTATGATAATCTGATAGATTAGCATGATGTTATAGTGAGAAATTAGCATGTAACTGGGTACGGAAGTAGCTATAATAATGTGAGCATCTCTTGAGAAAGGTTAGCGACTCGATCAGGTTAGCTTTCTTGTCTCGCAGTATGTTAAACGTTCTAACAGAAGTGTGAAATCCCTCCCCGTAGAGGCGGTTCAATCTTGATTTGAAGCTTTCGTGACTGCAGGAATCCATACTCTTTGGTTATTCCGGTAAAGTCATCACGTAGGTAGAAAAATAAAATAAATCACGACGTTTCGGGCGCAACAACAAGCGTCTGTCATCAGGCGGGAAAGCGTGGCCTCCTGCTGATGCAGACTGTTTTAAAAGGTTTGAAATGGGTGTAGCCCAAGGGTTATAAAGGAGTGGCTGGGTCTAGTTGTGTTAATGTGAGAAATGAGTTTCTACCTACTACATGATGACTTTACCGAAATAACCAAAGAGTATGGAATCCTGCAGTCACGAAAGCTTCAAGTCAAGATTAAAATTGCCTTCTCAAACTTTCCATTTTCTTGCTCTACACCATTGTCTCTCCTCCGTCCACTGTGGCCCGGGATTCCACGCTGCTCCCTCCTTGTCCCCTCGTTAGTCCGCTGGTCCTGCCTCCCCAGTCCTCTCTCTGCCCCGGCCCATCTCCCCTCTCTCTATTTAAGGCCTCGGCACAGATTCGTCGTCCTTCTGTTTGTCTTGGTGTGTGTCTCTCTCTGCATGTGTGTCTCTCTCTGCATGTGTCTCTCTCTGCATGTGTCTCTCTCTGCATGTGTGTGTCTCTCTCTGTATGTGTGTCTCTCTCTGTGTGTGTGTCTCTCTCTGTGTCTCTCTCTGCATGTGTGTCTCTCTCTGCATGTGTCTCTCTCTGCATGTGGGTCTGCCTATGCTGTTCCGTGTCTGTGTTTCCTTGGTGTGTGTCTCTCTCTCTGTGTCTGTGTGTGTCTCTCTCTGCATGTGGGTCTGCCTGTTGTTTCCGTGTCTGTGTTTCCTTGGTGTGTGTCTCGCTCTGTGTGTCTTTGTGTGTGTCTCTCTCTGCATGTGGGTCTGCCTATGCTGTTTCCGTGTCTGTTTCCTTAGTGTGTGTCTCGCTCTGTGTGTCTTTGGCACAGTAGGGGGCACAGGTGATGCATCAGCCAGTCATCTCAGTCGTCTTTAGTCAGTCGACCCGTAGCACTTGGGTCTGCCCCGTGACCTCCTGCCAGTGGGCGTTCGACACTTCACGTGGCCTCAAGGTGCACATGGCCTGGCAAAAGCATCGTGGTGACGTCACCGCCACTTAGTGGCGAATGGCGGTTGTTGTGTTGTCTTTGTGCGTGTCTCTCTCTACATGTGGGTCTGCCTATGCTGTTGCCGTGTCTGTGTTTTTATCATTCATTCATACCTGATGATGGTTGCTTGTGTTGCAACCGAAACGTCGTATTCTATTGTTATTTGATTTGATTTTCTACGTGACTTTACCGTACGAACCAAAGAGTGATAATTCCTGCAGTGGCGAAAGCTTCTACGTTTTTATTTGTTTGCATTCCGACCACAAGTATTGCGGTTAATGCAGACATGGATCCTTGTGAAAGGTTTCAGTTCGGTGTTTTAACATCTTAACGCAGCTGTTTTGTTGCCAGAAAAAAAGGGGGAAACCTCTTCTCAGATCCCCTTCCGCTCAGAACCCCCCTACCCCCCCCCCCCCCCCCCCCCCCGTGTAGCCCTTTAAGAGACGCCCGGCTGTGTGAGCGTTCGCGTGCAGTGGTGGTGACGGAGGAAGAGGAGGAAGAGGAGGAGGCGGGGGCAGTGGTGAAGTGGGAGTTCAAAGGGAGATGGAGCCCCGAGATCCTGAGGATCGTGGTGAAAACCGAAGTGGACGATGACGGTAAAGAGAGAGCGAGAGAGAGAGATATATATCCCCCTCATTCCTACTAACAGACTGAGCGAGGGTCGAAATGAGACCCCCCCCCCTTGTTTGCCAGTATCAAAGTGTGACAAAATAAGAACTTTGAGCTGTGTGACGCCTTTTGGCGTCATCTGGTCGAGCACCAATTGGGTCGAGGCTCAAAAGAAAGCTGTCCCTTGGTGTGGACCAATCAGTTTCAAGGACAATGCATCATATTATAATAGTGTGTTTTTGTTTGCATTTTGACTGCAGGTATTGTAGTTAATACAGATGAATCATTGTCAAAAGGTTTCAGCTTTGTTGCCAGAAAAAAGGGGAAACACCTTATTATTATTATTGCATTTAGATTGTCAGAATGCAGTAACATGAATCCTTGTAAAAAGGTTAAAGTTTTTCGATTTAAAGCTTTCGTGACTGCAAGGATTCATCTTCTTTGGTTCTATACTCTTTGGTTCTATTGGGTAAAGTCATGTAGGTGAAAATAAAATAACAAAAAATCACGACGTTTCGGCCACAACACAAGCGGCCTTCATCAGGTGAAGGGGACGAGACTGTCTGGAGGACAGCGCTGTCCTCCAGACAGCCTCTGATTTATTGCTGCCAGAGAGGGGTAAAACACCGACGTTTTGTTTCCGTACCGAGCCAGGGTCTCGCAACCAAACCACGGGGCGGACCCTCCGCGCTCGCGCTCCGCGGGACGTCCTCCGGCTCGCCCGGGACGACCTCGCTTCCCGTCGTTGTGTCTCCCCGCACCGCAGCGCCGCGTCCGGAGCCGCGAGAGGCCCCCGGGAGGCCGGCTGAGGCGGACGGATCCGGCGGAGGTCGCTTCACCGCAGACCGGAACTTCATCGAGGTGGAGGTGTCGGAGGACAACGAGGAGGAGCCCAATGAGGGTGAGCGTTTTACCCGGTCTTCCCGGGGGGTTTCCTTGTCCATCGCCGATCGTATCCATCCCGGACGTGCCAGCGTGCTGGAGGAAGCGGCCACCGTCCGGGCCAACGTTGCCATTTGACGAGCAGTTGCTGAGGAGCTATTCACAATGCTGAGGCCAGGTAAAGCGGTGGCTATGGAGATGCTAATAGGGGGGGTTTTTTCCCCCTATTTTATGGCAACAAAACTGACATCTTTTGCAAGGGATCATGTTAACATTGACCACAATACTTGCAGTCAAATGCAAACCAAAAAACAATATTCTTGGTTCTTTCGGTAAAGTCACGTTGTGGTTTTCACACCTGATGATGATTGCTTGTGTTGCAGTCGAAACGTCGTGAGAATTTTATTGTTTTATCTTTTTATTATTTTATTGTTTCCCTTCTACGTGGTGACTTTACCGAAAGAACCAAGAATATGAATCCCTGCAGTCACGAAAGCTTTAAATAAAAAAACAACAATACTCTGATAATTTATGCATTGCCCTTGAAACTGATTGGTCCACACCAGAGACAGCTTTTCTTAGAGCCTAGTCTCATATAGTTCACCAGAAAAAAGGGGAAAGACCCTATTAGTATATTTTGGTACTGGCAAAGGAGGCCTCACGATGGCTATGGAGATGTTGACTACCTCGCCTGGTACGCAAGAGGTCGTAGGTTCGAACCCGACTCTGACGCCTGCTGCCGTATATTTGGAGTATGTGTGTGTGCGTCTCTCTCTCTCTCCTGGTCACGTGGATTTTTCCCCTCTACATTTACAATCAGCATCTCCACGCGTTCAGAGTAGTTCACTGCTGGTCGAGCTGCTGTCGTTTGTGATGACCAGGTTGCTTCTGAGAAAGAGTTACGTAGCTCAGTGGGGCGTTGCACCTGGCAAATTGTTTAGTAGTTTAGCGCCTTGCAAGAGATGGCATCCCTATTAAACTGCTGAGGGAAGCTGGCGATTGTGTTAAGCTGCCCTAAATGACATCATTACCTGTACGTATGTACATTGAACTTCCTTGGTACCGGATATAGCCAACCGCGCTAATTTCAGGTGCTGGGGAAGGACAACAATCTAAAGACAACAACAACAAGCAGTTCTAAACAAAATAGTTTTAAAATGTGTATAGTGTAGTGTATGGTGTGGCGTAGTGTGTTATGTTTGTGGTGTAGTATGTAGTGCATAGTGTAGTGTGCCAGCCGTGTTAATCGGTGCCAAATAAGTTCAACATACGTACGTACTACACTATACATGATGTACTACACTATACTCTACTACACACTGCACCAGTGGTTCTTAACCTCATTTGAGGTACTGAACCCTGCAAGCTTCATCAGTGCATTCACCGAAACCTTCGTAATTGGATCAATAAAGTATGATTTCTTCAAAACATAGGTATATATTGTATTAGTGCGAACCTTGCTATACTGTGTGTCTTGAACCCCTGGGGTTCGATCGAACCCTGGTTAAGAACCACTGCACTACACTATACACTACACTATACACTACACTATACACTACACTATACACTACTATACACTACACTATACACTACTATATACTACTATACACTACACTATACACTACACTATACACTACACTACACACTACACTATACTAAACACTACTATACACTACACTATACACTACACTATACACTACACTATACACTACTATACACTACACTACACACTACTATATACTACTATACACTACACTACACTATACACTACACTATATACTGCTATACACTATACTATATACTACTATGTACTCTACACTATATACTACACTGTATACTATGATACACTATATACTAATATACTATATACTACTATACACTACTCTTCACTTTACTACATACAACACATACACTACACCACTCTGCTAGCCGACCACGCTAATAGGAGGTGCTGAGCATGCCCCCCGGTGTTGACGTTGGTTCAAATTGAAGCCCCCGGACCCTCCCTCCCCCCCCCCCCTTTTTTTTTTTCCTCCGAACATTGCGTCGGACGCAACGACAGGAAGAGAGCTCCGACGGGATGGGCGGCGCGGGGCGCAAGATCCCGGACGAGCCCCCAGCGGGCGGCGCGAGAGGCCGCCGCCCGCCGCCACCAATCGGACGGGGAGCGGGCGCGGCGGGAGCGCGGGGGCGGCGCCCCCCGGCGGCGGCAGGAGGAGGCCGCACGCGTGCGGCGAGTGCGGCAAGGCGTTCGCGCGGCCCTCCGACCTGGAGAAGCACTCGAGGACGCACACGGGCGAGAGGCCGCACGCGTGCGGCCAGTGCGGCAAGGCCTTCGCGACGCGCTACAACCTGCGGACGCACGCGCGGACGCACACGGGCGAGAAGCCGTACGTCTGCGGCCGGTGCGGCTGGGGCTTCGCGCAGAACGGCCACCTCAAGAGGCACTTGAGGAGACACTCCAGGACGTACACGCCGCAGTGACAGAGGCCTCGAGAGCCGGCGGGGGGGGGGGGGGGCGGGTGTTGTCTACGTCGGTAGCGACGGCAGATGTCGCCGTGCTCCTGCAACGCTATCGGCCCCCACCGTGTCAAATAAAGATAAACTTTTTTTTATTTGAACAGCTGTGAGCACCCACTCAGCTGCTACGTAGTGGCTCTTTTGTCAGGAGCGGCGGTAACCTGGCCAAAACGTCGGCGTTTTTTGTTATTTTCTTTGAACCTATCTACGTGACTTTACCGAAAGACCCAAAGACCCAAAGAATACTCAACCAAGTAGCCGATATCATCGTCATCGTCACGAGGAAATTCATAGCAGCAGCCAAATTAGCTAAATGTGTGTTTCTACAGACTCATAGAGACCCATACAGACCCACAGAGACTCACAAGGACCCAGAGAGACTCATACTCAGAGACCCGCAGAGACCCATGCTCATTGAGACTCACAGATATTCATAGAGACCCATACAGGCCCACAGAGACTCACAAAGACCCAGAGAGACTCATGCTCATTGAGACTCACGGAGATTCATAGAGACCCATACTAATATTAAACTATATTTTATTTTACCAGGTAAGGCCCACTGAGCCTTGTAGCTCGTGGCATGTCTGGGATATACGGCCGGTGATACAAACAAAAAGACGTTGCATTTTATCTGTCACGTTACCAAACCAAAACTAAACTTTTTACTTTTCGATTTAAAGCTTTCATGACTGCAAGGATTCATCTTCTTGGTTCGGTAAAGTCACGTAGAATGAGAATAAAACAATAAAACAAAATAAGACAATAAAATTCTCACGACGTTTCGGCCACAATACAAGTAGCCTTCTTCAGGTGAAGGAACAGAACTGTCGGGACGACAGCGCCTCTGTGTAATGAGTCTATGGGTCTCTGTGTAATGAGTCTATGGGTCTGTGTGATGAGGCTATGGGTCTCTGTGTGATGAGGCTATGGGTCTCTGTGTGTGATGAGTCTATGGGTCTTTGTGTGTAATGAGGCTATGGGTCTCTGTGTAATGAGTCTATGGGTCTCTGTGATGAGCCTATGGGTCTGTGTGATGAGTCTATGGGTCTGTGTGATGAGCCTATGGGTCTCTATGTGATGGGGTTATGGGTCTCTGTGTAATGAGTCTATGGGTCTCTGTGTAATGAGTCTATGGGTCTCTGTGTAATGAGTATGGGTCTCTGTGATGAGTCTATGGGTCTGTGTAATGAGTCTATGAGTCTGTGTGATGAGCCTATGGGTCTCTATGTAATGGGGTTATGGGTCTCTGTGAGATGAGGCTATGGGTCTCTGTGTGATCAGTCTACTGACGAAAACTAAACTTTTATTTGACCAGGTAAACACCCACTTAGTTGCTGTGTAGTAGCTCTTGTTCAGAAGCGACCGGGCCATCACAAATGATAGCAGCTCCGCCAAATGGCTTATCACCATGACATTTAAAGCAGCAGCCGAATACTCTAAACGCGTGGTGATGTTGATTCTAAATGTGGAGGGAACAATCGGAGGGACCTGGACAAAAATTCACGGGGAGAGAGAGACACGCAGACTCCATATATACAGCAGCAGGCATCGTCAGGGTCGGGATAGAACCCATGACCTGTAAACCAGGCGAGGTAGTCAACATCTCCTAGCCACCGTGATGATGACGAGAGAGAGACGCAGACTCCAAATAAACAGCAGCAGCAGGCGTCGTCAGGGTCGGGATAGAACTCACGACCTCCTGTACACCAGGCGAGGTAGTCAACATCTCCTCGGCACCACGGGGCCCACTTAACCACACAGATTCACAATGTAGTGGTTCACCCTCTGGGCGCTCGGGGTTAACCATCGACTATCCATCATCGGATTATCGGGGTTGTTGATTAAATCTTGATTGAAAACTCACGTCTCTAGAGCTGCTGCTTGTTGTGTTTAGTGTCGTTGACTACGTAGGGTGTGAAAAAGTTCAACATACACACACTATACTATACACTACACACTACACTACACATTAGTATACACTACACTATAAATTAGTATACACTACACTATGCACTACACTATACATTAGTATACACTACACTATACACTACACTATACATTAGTAGACACTACACTATACACTACACTACTATACACTACACTATGCACTACACTACACATTAGTATACACTACACTATGCACTACACTACACATTAGTATACACTACACTATACACTACACTATACATTAGTATACACTACACTACACATTCGTATACACTATACACTACACATTAGTATACACTACACTACATTAGTATACACTACACTATACACTACACGACTATACACTACACTATGCACTACACTTCACAGTATACACTACACTATGCACTACACTACACATTAGTATACATTACACTATACATTAGTATACACTACACTACACATTAGTATACACTACACTATCCACTACACTACACATTAGTATACACTACACTATACACTACACTATACATTAGTATATACTACACTATACACTACACTACACATTAGTATACACTCACTACTATCCACTACACTGCACATTAGTATACACTACACTACACATTAGTATACACTACACTATACACTACACTATACATTAGTATGCACTACACTATACACTACACTATACATTAGTATACACATCACGATGCAATACACTACACAATAGTATACACTACACTATACACCACACTATACAGTATACACTACACATTAGTATACACTACACTATACACTACACTACTATACACTACACATTAGTATACACTACGCTAATCGTGGGTAAAGGGACTTTTCTGCGGTGCTTTCATTGAACTTGCAGACCAAGACGATTGATTTTATTCACAAATTTAATGATGCCAGAAAGTCATTTTCACCTCGGCGGCTTCGTCAACAAACATTTGCAGGTTCTGGGGTATTCATGCGTCATTATATTGAATAAAAAAAAGTTTTATCATATAGAGTTGATGTTTAATTTCACTTTTTCACAAATTATAGGCAAAATAAATCAGATGGACCCCCCTACTCTGCCTGGTTAGTTGCAGGAGGTCACGGGACAGACCTAGCAGGTGCCATTGGTTGGCTGACTGAGATGACTGCTGGTAGATGCACCACCAGCTGTACCCCCTACTCTACTAACTTGCTGCATTTTAGCCGCCCGGCACTCTGCTCGTTGTTGTGAGCGTCGCTCCTCTGCCCTCAGTTGTAGTTGGAGGGCGACTGCCTCCAACAGCCCAGCAGCACTACACACACACTACACACACTAGACACTCACTACACACAATACACACACACTTGCACACTACACACACTGCACACACACTACACAGACTATACACACACTACATACACAATACACACACTACACACTACACACACACTACACACACTACACGCACACTACACACACACTACACACACTACACACACATGTAGTGGAGTAGACAATACACGTGGGTAAGTTGGCCATATACAGTACATACAAACAGTGTGGGTCACGTAAGTTCGATCAGGTGAGAGAGTCACGGGTGGCGTAAACAAGCCAAAGTAATTAAGGGAGTCAAGGGACGAGGGCTGTGATTGGTCGAGAGGCTGTTAGCGTTAAGTGGCAACGTCACGGAGTCTGGGCCGTTGGACAGGTGCGGAGCTGGCGGGATAATGCCGGCAAGGCACGTGGCAATTAATTAAGGCTGATTGGAAAGGGGATAAAAACGCTAGGTGATTTGGACGGCGAGGGGAGTTGTTGGCGAGAAGTGGAGACAGCAGCGGGTAGAGAGAGATGCGAAGAGTGGAAGCCCGGCAAGTGTTAGTGGGAAATAGATTGAGAGCCGAACCCAGAGGACAATACATAGCGATAGCGAGAGTTAGCGTTAGCAGAGTGGAAGTTACGGTATAGGTAGGTACAGGGAGAGTTAGCGATAGACAAGTCACTGCGTGTGAAGAGATAGACAGAGTCACTGTGTGTGAAGAGATAGACAAGTCACTGTGTGTGAGGAGATAGACAGAGCCACTGTGTGTGAAGAGATAGACAGAGTCGCTGTGTGTGAGGAGATAGACAGAGTCACTATGTGTGAGGAGATAGACAGAGTCACTGTGTGTGAAGAGATAGACAAGTCACTGTGTGTGAAGAGATAGACAGAGTCACTGTGTGTGAGGAGATAGACAGAGTCACTGTGTGTGAAGAGATAGACAGAGTCACTGTGTGTGAAGAGATAGACAAGTCACTGTGTGAGGAGATAGACAGGTCACTGTGTGTGAAGAGATAGACAAGTCACTGTGTGTGAGGTGATAGACAGAGTCACTGTGTGTGAAGAGATAGACAAGTCACTGTGTGTGAGGAGATAGACAGAGTCACTGTGTGTGAGGAGATAGACAGGTCACTGTGTGTGAGGAGATAGACAGTCACTGTGTGTGAGGAGATAGACAAGTCACTGTGTGTGAGGAGATAGACAAGTCACTGTGTGTGAAGAGATAGACAAGTCACTGTGTGTGAGGAGATAGACAAGTCACTGTGTGTGAAGAGATAGACAAGTCACTGTGTGTGGAGACAGAGCCACTGCGTGTGAAGAGATAGACAAGTCACTGTGTGTGAAGAGATAGACAAGTCACTGTGTGTGAAGAGATAGACAAGTCACTGTGTGAGGAGATAGACAGGTCACTGTGTGTGAGGAGATAGACAGAGCCACTGTGTGTGAAGAGATAGACAGAGTCGCTGTGTGTGAGGAGATAGACAGAGTCACTATGTGTGAGGAGATAGACAGAGTCACTGTGTGTGAAGAGATAGACAAGTCACTGTGTGTGAAGAGATAGACAGAGTCACTGTGTGTGAGGAGATAGACAGAGTCACTGTGTGTGAAGAGATAGACAGAGTCACTGTGTGTGAAGAGATAGACAAGTCACTGTGTGAGGAGATAGACAGGTCACTGTGTGTGAAGAGATAGACAAGTCACTGTGTGTGAGGTGATAGACAGAGTCACTGTGTGTGAAGAGATAGACAAGTCACTGTGTGTGAGGAGATAGACAGAGTCACTGTGTGTGAGGAGATAGACAGGTCACTGTGTGTGAGGAGATAGACAGTCACTGTGTGTGAGGAGATAGACAGGTCACTGTGTGTGAAGAGATAGACAAGTCACTGTGTGTGAGGAGATAGACAAGTCACTGTGTGTGAAGAGATAGACAAGTCACTGTGTGTGAGGAGATAGACAAGTCACTGTGTGTGAAGAGATAGACAAGTCACTGTGTGTGGAGACAGAGCCACTGCGTGTGAAGAGATAGACAAGTCACTGTGTGTGAAGAGATAGACAAGT